GTAGAAAACATATTTTTCGTTCAGATATACCCAACTCTCAGTGTGTAGGTCTGAAATCAAAATTAATAATTATAATTTCTTAATATCTTATAATTGTTATTAAAACAATAATGAACTATGGCACTTTTTTTTAAAAAATATTTCTATGAAAAATAATTTAAAATGAAACTACTTTTATCGCTAAAAGGATATAAATGAAATAAATTTTGGTATCGGTTTAAATAAGAAATAATACCCACTTAGAGATTAAGATTGTGTCATCTCACCTATGTAACTTTGGAGGTGTAAACCTTATTATAAAAGTTGCTAGTTTACAGCTAGACTTTGTTTAATAATTCAATAAATGTCAATAACATCACTACTAATATGGTATTGCTCATCGATATTGATAACTAATGATAGTGTTTATCGATATCGATAAACATAGATTTCTGAGCCTTATAATGATATTAGCTAGTCTACCGCTAAATTTTGATTGATGATTCGATAAAAATTGATAGTTAATACTAGTATTATGTTGCTTGTCGGTGTCGATATCATAGATTTCGCGCATATTTATTGTTCTGATGGATAGTTAAATTTGGCATAATTATGGGTATTTGTACAGATCTCAGAATACATCTCAGTCTTTTCGTACTGATTAAATCTTTTGGTTTAAAGAGTGGTTCCAATTTTCAACTGGAAAAAAGAGTGTCTTAAGCTTCCAAATATTTTATCTAGTAATACTCGTAGATACTCGTAATATTTGGTGTAGAATTGCTTTATTCTTGATGATAATATACATACATAGTTCCAGGTGAGTTCCTTCAATTGCGTAATTATAAACAATCTAAAATTATTGTTGCAGAGAATCAAGTAAGAAAATAATTTAAATTTTGATAGCACTTAAGACGTAAGTGGTGCGAGGGTGAAGTTCTTTACTAGTTTACACTCTAAACCTTTGAACTTTGCTACGACTTGAGCTCAAACAGGAAATTAAAAAAGCATTCAATCATAAAAAATATGAAAGAAAAAAATTTATTTTACCGACGTCTTAACTTTAAGCTGAAGTTAATGTTGGTGGGAGGGACGGTATTAGGTTGTTCTCTGCAAATTTGAATAAAGCCACAGTATTTTTGCCTCATTAAATTGACAAAAAAAACTCCAAAAAGAAACCTCTCTGGATTACGTCTTTTTTTTACTGCTGTGAACCAATAATTTCAAAAATAAATTCACCTTTGAATGGACACACAAAGTGTGTAAGTGTGTAAGTGTGTACCGGAGTTTGGCGATGTGTACGTGAAGTTTTGCATTGACATATGTAAATGTATGGCAATGCCGGGAAATAAGTCGGAAAACGAAGCCGGCAGTCAAGGCAAGAATCATAATTTCTGTTTATCAAGCAGAACTGACAGTCGACGCCGTTTTAATGGTAATATTATCGTTTCTGTTGTTATTATTGTTGTTGTTGTTGTGTGGTGTTGCTATTACTTTGCAATTTATGTGGTTGTGATGATTTTTTTTCTACTCTCATTAAGTTCTCGTTACAGTTGTTGTTGTAGCTGTTGCTGCTGCTAGTGCTGTTGCCATTGCTTTGTTGGGAACGCTTTGGCATATTGTATTATTGCATTATTTTTGTAGCCGGAGGTATGTATGTGGTATTCCACTACAGTTGGGCTTATGTAGGCCGAACACAGATACTCACACATACATTGTCAATGCGGTATAATTCCGCATAGTCAACAAGTCTCAGTTGTTGCCTTCGGTGTCTTCTGTCTTTTTGTAAGTCTTCAGTGACTACAAAGCGAAAACGAAAACAAAATGTGATGAATCAAAATTAAAATCAAAATCGTACTGCACGTATGAGGCAATAAAGTGTACGTGTGAAGGTTCGAGACCACCAGGTCGCAGTCATTCCAATTTGTTATTTCCATCTTCCACGTTATATACAAATACAATATCAACAATTAATAATAAAATCTACTTTTTATGTCGCAAGGTCTAAGTGAGTGTTGTCTCCCTTAACACAGAGTGCAATCCACTTTTAAAAATTTTGTTTTATAATTTCCTCATATTAATCAGAATATATAAGCCTATAAGCCTAAAAAAAAATGGATAGCTTTGAAATGTTTGAATCATAACATTCCAACATTTTTAAAACCGTGCAAACCTATGAGTTTGCGAATTTCTCAGATTGTATGATATATGCAGATCATGCGTAGATATTATATAAAGTTTAGTTTTTGGCAAACATGGATTCTTGGAATCTTATCTGCTCTTAACGTTTACTCTCCCAAGTGAAGGATAATTTCGCAACGACTAGTGTCTATTGCACTATTCTCAGTATAAACATGCAGTATTACACATGTATCATCCTTCTGAAATTTTTTTTCCATGATTCACCTCTGAGCAATAGCCGATCTGTTCCTTTTCTCTTGAAGCATAAGACTCGACGCGCTTGTTTGGCTATTTAATGTTATGGCTATTCCAATTGCATATAACTGTTACAATTGCATTAATATATCGAAATAAAAATTCTGTATTTAAAATACAGTTTATAGAATTTTACGCAGACAGCCACAATACTGCAGTCATATAGATATATGAGACTCTTTAAGCCTTTAAACCTGATACTAACATCTATTTCGCACGAAAAATTGGCGTAAAACTACATATGTAGAAAAAAAATTGTATACATATTTAAATTCTTTGGAACATTTTTTTTATATGGAGTTTTGTGTCAATTTTTTATGAGAAAAAGATGTTTGTATTAGACTTTAAAATGATACTTAATATAATTTCTCACCTTGACACTCCGTGATTGAAGGTGCATTCTCAATTACTTTTCTCAAAAAGTAATAATTCAAACTTTTTTTTTGAACAACTTTCTTCTTTTTCCTATAGACACTCTGAGAAACGCCTCTATCGCCTCTAGAACAGTTTCTATCAGTAAACATGCTTACTAAGTGACTTAACCACCATTGCAAAATTTGACCTATATAGCCTATGTTTTTGACTTTTATTTTTCTTACTATCTATAAGTTGTAGCCAAGTTAAAATAAACTTACTAACTTCATGAGCAGTTACGTAAAATTTTTATGTACTTTTAAGGGTATAGATTTCACATCTTTCAATAAGAATAGGTATACTTAGGGGTTTTTACATGTACATTTATTGTTCACAGGAAATCAGTTTGAATTTAAATAATTACAAAAGTATTAGTGTCTTTTGTATGGCAATCCAACTAGTCCTGATATTTGTACGTTATATCATACTTTCCAAAAGATGTAAATAAAATTTTGATTGGTGATAGATAATTAATGTAAAATGCAATTGGATGTCTGTTTATCCAGATGGATGGTAATTATATCGATGTCACCTAGAATAACAGCATCTTAAATAGATGACATAGGTTTTTTGCACCTGTTAAAAGAATGAAGCGGAATTGTCAGTAAGAAAAAAATTAAGGAAAATCCATCCTAGAAACTTAAGTGCGCAACTATATTAACTCTCAACCTTGAAATCTATATTGTGTTATATATATAAAATAAACTTTTAGCGGAGAAGAAATATTATTCTACAATGAGTAGAAATACAATAATATAGGCTATATAATATATAAGACCTAATATTGTGGAATTATCGTCAACGTGTGTTTCCTACATTGTAAATTAATCTAGGAAGTATATATGATATATGGTTGGTCGGTTGCAGTAGCAGACCAATAGATAACTGCCATGTACCTCACCTAGCGATTTTTCGCCGTTCTGCTACCACATTCCTCGCAGGAACTCATAAGATACAAGAGTATAAATATTTAAATAGGTCTTTCGTCTTTACCGATGAACAGTCTAATAAACTTTTAAGGAAGTATCTTCCTAAAACTATATTTCTTCTGGAAACCAAAGCCGGGCATTAACAGAGAAAATGTTTTTTTCTGCAGGTTTCCACAACTTCTGCAGTGAGGAGTTTAAGAACTCATAGTTTCTCCGTGGTTTACCAATGACTTCATAGAACTGTAGTAAGCGTTGCAGTGTTCACGTGGTCTCCTTTGATGAGTTCCCAAGATCCTAAGACTTATAATATGATATATAAATGCATATATTATTTTAAACTTATTTACTACCATAAGAAGTATAAAGTTCGTAAAAAACTTTAATTAAACTGACTAAAATTTATGACAAAAGACATTTTAAAGAATGGTGTTCTGCAATTAAAAGTATTTTTCAGAATATTGTCTATATTACCCTTCGGATGAAACACGTCATTTCTTTAACAGTCTCTATGGGCTATACATTGTAAATTGAATCGTATCTAAGGATTTTCCAAGGTTATACATACTATAGATTATAGAAGGTTATACATACTGTAGATTATAACTTTTATGTTAATATTACATTTTTTTTTTGAATAATTGAACTTAAACATCGCAAATAATTTATTCGGGGTTCATAATTTAAGATGTACATATGTACATAATAACAATTTTGGGTTCAGAATATCTCGAAGTATCAAAAATATCTTGTTTTTTGAAGTGGAAAAGTGCTCAAAATCTTCATTTATGAGAAATTAGAAACTAAAAATTACATTTCGTTCCATCCACTTTCATTTGCCCACATGTATCTTCCACATGCTCCCAGATCATATTTCGTCACAGCTGTTGCCTACACGTTCGGCAACTACTAACTTTGTTGCTTCAAAATAATTGTCAACGATATCAGAATGTGTGTCGTTTGTCTCAAAAAAAAAAAAAAATCACGTTTCACTTTCGATTAAAATTTATAATTTGACTTTAATTGTACGCTGAAATATGAGCTCATATTCACGCACCCGCGAAAATTCACTCACTTCTCTGCACATTGCGTTCTCCGTCTTCTGTCAACAGCCAACAGTGAGCTGTAGTTAATATCAGAATTGCGTCATAGGCCGCTTTAAATTATTATTTTCTTTTTATTTTGAAGCATTTAATTTTCATTTTATTTTTTATCTCATATTCCTTTTTTTTTTTATTTTGTTTTAAGATATTTAACGATCGCTATTTCGTTGAAGAGGAAGCAGTGAGACAAGCAAAACAATTAAGTGCTTTAACGAAGCACTTCAACTGGCGGAAGGAGTACGATATATGGATCGACAGGTTGGGAATTCATTAAATGGCAGAAAAATTTGGGATATTGCGCTCGATGACTGCCTTGCATTGGCTTTAAATAGCGTTTGAAAATGTCCGTCGTCACTAGTAATCACAATTTAAATGGTAAATTGATTTTAAGCACAAACGCAACTGCGCCAGCAACATTATCAGCAGCAACAGCAACTTTGACGCTAGCTAACCAACATAATACCTTAAACAACAATAGCAGCAATAGCAGCGTTAATATTAATCATAACGCAAATACTGACAAAATTCTTCATCAGCATCAACAGCTACCACAGCTACAACAACGTCGCTCTTTGCTTACAGCACCGGCGAACCAATCACTTCATCATTTAAGTCAATTGACGCAACAACAAAGCGTAACGACAGCGACATCACACACGCCATCAACAACTGCGCTGTCATCCTCGGCTATACCAATAATACCAGCAACTAACTCAAGCGCTCATTCGAATCAACTTCAAACAGTTGCCACAATTCATCATCACTCGCAAGCAGACCAGCAACACCAACAGTCGAAAGCACAACTAACGACACCAACAACACCAATCACAGTTTCGGCCTTAGTGACAGCATCACAGTCAGAGCCAAGATCAACAGCAGCAACAACAACAGTAGCAGCAGCGCAAAACCAACAAAAACAAAAATACTCAGAACAACAGCAATCGATATTACAAAAACAAAGTCAAGCACAGACGCAAACACAGTCACAAATACAGACGCAAATCACAACAATACCAACACTTGAAAATTCGCATATACGTCGCAACTATTTTCAATTGCAAGCATTGAAGACATCAAATAATCTCAAAGCACCGGCACATTCGATTCCTCCACGCTATCAACCTCCACCCCAACCCCAACCTCAAGCACAGAGCCCGCATCAGCTTCAATCGCAACCGCAATCACAACCACAACCACAGCCTCAAACTCAATCTTTATCCGGATTGCGAAAGCATTTAAACTCTGTGCCCATAGAAGGTGGCTGCTCCACCGGTGATCATCCCCCACAAACTAATATCGCTATCTTAAACACCAGCTCCATTCTCAGGAAACCACTGCATTCCTCATTTTTTCCCGAAACAAATACATTTAAACTTAAGTATCCACCTGACGTTCCACAACTATCAACGGTTTATATACCAGATTCGATTAAAGCCCCAACGAACCCTTCACGGTACACCCAACAGCGCCTTCAGCAGCAACAGCAAAATCATCGCCAGCAGCGACACCGAAACACTTCCGTCCTTCGCAACAACACGATTGCTTGCAACAATATTTTAAACACCAATCATAGTTTGCAATTTCAGCAACAGCAACAGCAACAGCAGCAGGCCGATCAGCAGCAGCAGCAACAACAACAACAACAACAAATGCTTAAATTTGTACGAAAAACCGATCAAGACCATCCATCGCCAAATGCGTCAGTGACGTCAAGTACTACGGGTATACCAACAGCAACAGGAAGACTAACAGCTGAACAAAATCGGCAGTTACAGGTAAAATAATTTTATCAACAGCATTTTTACAACAGCATCTATCGGTCGAAACCTAACATAGTGGTCTATTTTTCGCTTTTTTTTATCCCTTTAGTTTCCTAAGGACTGTAGATTTTTTCTCTACTATTTCTGTAAATAGACTTAGAATAGAAATATCGTACATCAATTTTTTTCTGAATTAACGCACGACTCAATCAATTATGAGTACATATAATATAAAGCTTCCAGGAGCAATGTATTTCTAAAACCATTCGTCTTTTTTTAAGTGACCAAGTGCAGCTCACCACTCTCAGAACGTTTTCTGGTCAGGCTACAACAAAAAGGCAATCAATATGATTCATAGTCATTACATTACAGGCTTCAAAATAACTTTAAAATAGGAAGTTTATTTCGCTAATTTATCTGTACTATTATAGCGCTGAAGTGTAACGACTTTATATACTAGTAACATATACGACTGTCGAATTTTACACTTCAGTGACAAAGGAAGTAAATATATTTTTCTTTTCGAAAAATTGAAATTTTTGGTCAAAAATATAATTTTATACTGCTTAACAGAGATTAAGTAGTCTAATTACCCACAGAACATTAAAATTTCAATAGAAATATTAATACCTTTAGAATCCTAATCAAGGCGCAGACTTAATTAAAAAAATTAGAAAATAAAATTGCTGATGTTTTATTGCAAAGTTGTTGTTTTGCTTCATCTTGTAAAGTAGTATTTTTGAACCCAAAACACACTGTGGACCCGGAAAATATTCAAAAATAAATATCATCAAAGGCGACAATCTGTGCTAAATCTGTGTCGAGAAACCGATACCGATCTGCGGATTGACAGTTGCAAAACTTTGGTATAGAGAATATATGTTTTACAAGTATTTGAGGATGTCTGGATAAAGATATCGGATTTAATTGTGTCGAGTTGTGATCACATTACAATTATCAGACGATTTCAGAGCTTTTATAACTTATCATCTGCAATACTTCTATTATTGTAATACAGCTAAAATACTGTTTTCTCTCTAATCAAAATATATAATAGATCACATATCACTACTGGTCCACTACTCATATGATTATCTATCATAATATTATAAGTATACTATCAATATAATATTTATAAACAAAAAAAACTGTGGCATATATAGTTTTACTGTGATCAAAAATTTGGAATTATTATTTATTAACAATAAACAGTGTCATGTACACTTTGAAAAATCCATTTCAGATACTTATTTTTTATACTTAAACGTAAAAGTCTCTCCACTGACATGACGACATAGAGCAACTCTCATAAGTGTGGAAACGACACTTAGTCGTCGTAGAATAAGGTTTTTAGTCACTTGTGGAATGTACAAATTTAGCATGACGGACTCTTGGTATATCGAAAGATATGCAGTCAAGACCTCTGCTTATATCAAATACATTTTATATGCAACATTAACCGCGAGCCTGCTAGGGTATGCGCTAGGGCTGTGTGGAACGTATGCTTTCTAATTTAAGAATAATTTGAGCCATTGATTTGGTTTACAGTTTTTTTAGTTGAAATGCACAGTGAAGATATTCCGGACAATGTTGTATATAAATCGTATTTTTTTTATCAGGTTTAAAAACATACGAACATCACTCCAATTATTTTTTCGGAAATTATACATATGATGCAGTGCAATGTTTTTTATTGGATATTTTTTCTGAATTTCAGTCCCTTATAAGTGAATTGCGGGCTTTAAAAGAGCAGAATCAGCGACTTCTGGATGATAATCAAGAACTTCGTGATCTGTGCTGTTTTCTTGATGATGATCGTCAAAAAGGTAGAAAATTAGCTAGAGAATGGCAACGTTTTGGAAGATATACTGCAAGTGTCATGCGTCAGGAGGTAGCAGCCTATCAGGTGAGTTCGTATTGTGTATCCTATTTTTAATTTAATGAATTATTTTTTTTACTGCTATTTATTACAATATTTAGAACAAGTTGCGACAACTAGATGACAAACAACAGGAGTTAATTACTGATAATTTAGAATTAAAGGAGCTTTGCCTGTATTTGGATGAAGAACGAGCACATGTTGCTGCAAATATGTTATGCGTAAACTGTGGTGCTACCACACGCAATGCATTACGTGACGACGGTGATGGCAGTAGCTCCAGTACAAATGCGGATGAGATTTCTGCACTGCGAAACTACGAACGTCAATTGCCAGTAAGTTCTGAACTCAATTATAACGATTTATATTAATTCGATAAAGCGTATTTTAATAAAATGTTTTTCCTATATTTAATTTCAGGATATGCATTTACGAACATCCCTCAATGATCAAACCCTTCAATATGTACGCTCGCTCGAACGACGCATACAACAATTGGAGGAAGAACGTTTAACAGAGACCACACCAACCGCGAATCTAGCCACACAACAACAGCAACAACAACAGCAGCAACAGCAACAACAGCAACACCAACAACATTCACAATCAACAACACAACACGAAGGAATCAGCGAACCTATATCGGGTCGTCCCGAAGCAGTTGTGCGTGCTTTGCAAGTACTCGAAGTGCGAGAACAGCTGGAACGAGATCGTATCGGAAATTTAACCGGTAATGCAATTGATCAAATGGATGATGGAGAAAAGGCACTGGTTCGAGAAATGTGCAACGTTGTTTGGCGTAAACTTGAGGGCAGTCCGAATACAGCAGCAAACGCGCTGGAACCTCTATAAAACCAATTACAATAACAAATTCCTAGTTATACAAACTCTAATAAATAAAATCTACAATTTACTGTTAAATGCTGAACTAATCCAAACATTAAATAGTTTAATAGTTTTAAAAGTCTAACCCCGCCCATGAATACTAAAAAACGTTTTGTTTTTGTTAATCTCTAATTTTTTACCGAATAAGATACATGTGTTGCTTTTAATTATTAATAAGGTCTGAATAAAATTCAATTTTATAAAAATTAACGTTCATTTAAATCTTTAAGGGCATTACATACTATTCGCTGAGATACAACAATAGCATTAATGTAATCTGTACAAGAGAGCATAACTCAAGTACTAGAAATAAAAAATACTACTATTAAAAACTAACAAAATAAACTTACATTGATATGAAGGAAACATATGAGACGCTGGTAACAGCACTTTCCATCCATATAATAGGATTAGATTGAAGTCTATATTAGTATAAGTCGGAATGAACGGATGAACGAAACACGTTGCACTATGAAATTATTATAAATTAGTAAGATTTCGTAGTGATATCAATAACGTATAAAATTACTACCTTGGTGTTAGTGTAATCCAAGGAAATCTGAAGAGCATGAAACATGAATGAATTACAAGATTCATCAGTAAAAATTGTATGTAATAGTGGAGATGCTAATTAAGTTTGCCTGGGTTAAGGTTTGTATCCCATTATTTCACTGGAAACCCTAAACCTCTTATATGTGTATGTGTATGTCTTATTATTCAATATAGATAGATGCACGTTTAGGAAAAGAGCATGAATTGAATCTATTGCTGCAGACCTTGTGAAGAAAGTTGATTTAATCAATGATATTAAAAGTAGGCTTGAGAATTTTAATTATAACCTCCATTATTTTTCAGCTGAACATCTTACTTATACGTATATACATTTTTTCCACTGTTGCTCTAGTAAATCTATCGGTCACACACGATTCACAGCTCATTTTGTCAAAGTCTGAATAACACCCCAGCGAAACAGGCTTTTTGGTTTGTGCAGGCCAGCATTTAATACATATTATCAGTACTGAATGCAGAAGCATTGAAAATTAGGTTTTGTCCCACTTTTTGTCCATTCACAAGATCATTGCTTATGTTCAACTGTTCAACTAATTGACCAAAGTGAGGAAAAAACAATTATTATTTGCATTGAGGACTGTTTCACTTCTCCGCGGTTTTACGGCTTAGCTGCATTGCAAATTTGAACAAAACTTTCTTTCGGAAATTCGTGACAAAGTCGCTTAACCTGATTTTCAATTTATTTATAAACAAATCACTTGTCAAATGAGCAAGATATTGTAAAAATACAGGGTGCTTTGTCGCATGTGGCGGTGTTGTTGTTTCATGCGCGTTGATGTTACAGAGCGACTTATTAAGCTTCGCTCATTAATCACACCTTAAGCGGACCTACAGAAACCGATATGAGAGATACTCGTAATCTTCTGCTTTTTATCTTGTTGCGATTCACTCCACTGCGTATCTGAAAGATGCAGATAACTGAAAAACAAATTATAAAAATATAAATTATTTGTATCTTTTGCTATTTGAAGCAACAGTTGCACTATGTGCGAAAGATGTCAATGTTTAATGGTTTAATGGTGTCGTGGAGGCCGTATATGGTTCCATTCGTATTATTTTAGTATTACTGGATTGTTTACTGTTTTGTTTGTTTATACAATTGGCATCCAAGTGTCGAAGCCATAAAAAATAATGTCTGTTCATTGTGGCAAAAAAAAATTTGAACATTGAGACACTTATATATCAGTCCATTTAATTACTAAATATTCACGTATTCATAATTTATTACAAGTATTTATTATTAATGGCAATCACTATTTCGGTTATTGAGAACCTGAACTGTATTATAGCGTTTTTATTTGGAGTAACCAAAATAATGCTACTGGAGCGAAGCGATCCATATTAGTTCCAAAAAATAGTCACCTGTATATAATTTATTGTGAGTGGCATTCCCTATCTCTCTATCACTATCCCTCTTTTTATTTGGAGTGCAACGAAGAAGAATGTAATTCTTCTATCAAAAACCTATCAGTTTTTTCAGACGACGTAAAGATATTATAATATTGATATGCAGATGTCTGAGTTGGTGATACAACACCTTAACTCTATTTTGTCTGTGGACAGTTTTAAGTCACACTAAGAATATCAGTTATTATACTAGGCTTTATAATATGATGGATCTGATGTCTTTGTATCTGCCTGTGTTTATCTGATTTCGCTGAATTTTTAGGTTGCTGAGTGTTGGATTATTGTGACTGTCAATTATATTGAACAATTTCAGTGCACGGTTTTTAATGTATTTTTCGACTGAATCGACTCTCAGATCTTTGTGGATATCCGCAGCGATCCATATTAGTTACACAATTGATTATAGCTTTTTTATTTGGAGTGTGCCGAAGAAGAATGTAATTACCTATAGATTTTTGTAATTCATTTACATTTCAGAACGAAAAGGTACCGGAGCGCAGCAATCGGAAGGCGTCGATATTAATATATGTAGATTATTATTTGAGAATTATAGAAATTATTTGTAGATTGCAAGTGCAGCAAATATTTTTCTCCGTGTTTTGTTTTTCAACCTAAACAATTACAAAGGTACACCAAAATGTCTTCATTGTACATCATACTACCAATGGCCAGTAGAAACCATTTCGCTGCTCTGTAGATCTTTCCATGAGTTCTCAGTGCTATCAAAGAAATAAAGTCTACGTCCTAAATTAATTGGTACTCATGTAGTTGGTACTTATATAGTACACAAAATAGTATATATTATAAATATCCTCACCTTTCAACTTTTATTTTATGTAATTGTGCCTAACAAAATTTTAAGATTTCCTCTAAAATTTATTAAAAAAAACTACGGAAACTAGAGATTACTAATGCCTAACATCAAAGTCCGCAATTCCGACTGGATCAATGTGGAAACCCGCGGGCAATGATTTTGTGAGTGCAAATATTGAACGCACTTGATTATTATATATAAATATGCATGTATTCGTACACTACAAATAAACATCGACGAAGGCATGAAGATGCATAACGCAAGCGTAGACCGAAGAAAGTGCCGCCTATTAACCGATTGCAGCATGTTACTCTCTCCGCAACGGAATGTTTAGTATTAGCCGTCGTCCGCTTGGAATGATCTTGACACTACAACAACTCTGTTGCATTCTTAATTCAACATTGAAAAGGAAAACACAAGTTTGTGTAGTGCGCATAAAACAAAAACCAAATAAAAAATAATAAATTAGTGCTGAATTATAATAAAAAAAAAGGGAAATCACAAGTCGGTACCTAAATGCTTTGACCACAGATGTCTATATTCATAGACAATAGAATGAAGCACAGGACATACACAAGATTTAGGTATTTTGCTTTTAAGCCCAAAAGACATGTGAACGAGGTCTTTTCGGTATTAAGACATACAAATGTTAATGGGAAAGTACAATGTGGGATCCATAACATATCTGGGCCATTATTTTTAGTTTGTTTTTCATTGATAATAAGTATATGTGAGGCAGTGCCTACATTAGCAGGGAATGCTTCTCAATTAGCACATGTACTTAGTAGGCGCAGTTGGCCGTCCTTAAAGCATTATGACATCTGGAATAGTGATTTTGCGGATAGCAGTGGAACTGATAATAGTATTGATACTAGAGATGCTGATATTGATTTTGAAATTTTAAATAAAGGAAATAATTTTCAAATTATATCAGAGTCATTCACAACAAACGCTCAACAGAACCAAAACTCTGTTTTCAACGAGACATTATACAATATATCAGAAAACGCTCAACATCAGCAATTAGCGCAAATTTATGCAAGCAGTAGAAAAAGTAAAGGTACGATATCTAATCTTTAACACTGAACTCAAGTTACCCATTTCAATTACACGAAATTCAGTAAAACCAGAATCCTTCTTTCCTTCTGTTTCTTTTTGGGTTCAGGCTAAAATATCTTTGAGTTGTATTTTAAATAAAGTTGTTTGTTTTTCACAGTAATACATCTATTCCCAGTACCAGTTGATGGGGAATGTGTTTCAGATGATGGCCGTCGTACAGGATCATGCTTCAATCCTTATGAGTGCCGTATGAAAGGAGGTTCAGCTAAGGGAGAGTGTGCAATGGGTTTCGGTGTATGTTGTATATGTAAGTCCACTGTTCTTCTACTATTATTTAATAATATACTTGCTCTTTTAGTTATTGCAAATTGTAACGAAACCATTATTCAAAACCTTACATATATCGTTTCGCCTAATTTTCCAAGTTTTATGCCCAGTAACTTTAGTTCTTGCACTATGAAGGTAAAAATACTCAACGAAGACATTAGTCAATTACGTATCGATTTTTATCATTTCTCATTGGGACAACCCAACAGACGTTCGGGTATATGCGACGGTGATATATTCAATGTGACCGGTGGACCTGCAGGCACTTTTTCACTTTGCGGACAGAATAGTGGGCAACACAGTATCTACTTACAATATTATTTTCTTGTATATTTTCTAATATTTATATATTTCTTACAGTTTATTATGATGTTGGCGGAAAGTTCTTACCAAGACAAACACTCTATGGTACTCTACGTCCATTGACATACAACCAGATATATCCAAATTTAAATGCTTCAGAATTCGGAAATGGAGAACAGCTCATTGAAATTTCATTGAATTTCTCAAAACGTTTTTTACCAATCAGACTATGGGAAATACGTATAGCGCAAATTCCATTTAGTCTGCGTGCTCCTGCAGGCTGTCTGCAATATCACACTTCAAATGAAGGCATTATACAAGTAAATGATTTTAATTCAATTCCTAACTGATATTTCATCTCATATTCTCCTTCAGACATTTAATTTCGCTGACAATGGACGCCATCTTGCTAATCAGCATTATCGCATTTGCATGCGTCAGGAGATTGAAATGTGCTCCATAGTTTATCAGCCATGTGATGAGCAGTCGTTTCGAATCGGTCCTAGTATCCCAGTACGCACGGGTATAATTTCCAATGGCGCCATCGATCTAAATACTATGGGTTCTATTATGAACATGAACACTAACAATGTAAACAACAATATGTTATTTGACCAAAATGTTATTATGTCAACCACAATGCCGCAAGAATCCCTGATATCACAGACTACACCTTTTCGTCCTACTAATATCGGTATTAACATGACAAGTCCAACAACAATGTTAAGCGTAGAAACATCTTCCACAGCAATGGCCATGCCAATAACTTCAACAACATTAACAACACCATCTACATCTACTATACCTACTACATCAACCATGTCTATCGCTTCAAATGCACCAGATGCGTTACCAACAACAGAATTATCAGCAACTACAGCAGTAGTGACTACAACACCTTCTCCGCCAGCTGCAAGTAAATCAAGAAATTACTTTCTTCAAAACTTAACATTACCTATTGTTTTTTTCAGGTACAAGTTCCGATACCGACGCAGCACCTGCACCCGCACCAGCGCCAGCTCCCAGTCCTGCACCTCCACCTGAAAGTTCTACTGCTAGCCCTGTCAACAACATAGTCAGCACGACAACTACGACAACAATTGCCCCCCAATTGAGCGACGACATTGATGGCTCAGGTGACGGAAGCGATATCTCAGTGACACCGTCTACTGGAACTGGAGCTTCACGCAGACCGCAAACAACAAGTGGTGGATTTGATCTTCTTGGATTTTTAAGAACTGCGTTTGCACTTGGTTTCCGTAACAAACGAAATGCCCGACAATTTTATAGTACATGCTCTGATCGTATTACCATGCCCTGCATAATTGAAGACTTTATTAATATTGGTCTTGGACCTCTACCTGGGTGTGAGCCTGTACATTGTGGCTTTCAGTTTTGTTCATCTGGAGTGTGGCCATGTATGATTGAATCAACTGTTACACCTTTTTATATTGGAATACATTTCGGCAATGGCATTGGTAAAGGAAGCGCAGAAGATAATATTGGCGCATGCCTACGGTTTAAGCAAGTTCAGTGCCCATAAAATAGGAAAAATGAAATGCAGTTTCGAAATAAGATAAATGTAAAAGCATAATATTAAATAATAAAAGATATGTCAATATGGGAAAAAATGAGTTTTTTACAGTTGTTGGAATAATGGCTAATTACTCAAATAACTATGCTTTCGAAAACAACCTAAACTTCTGTGCTTCCGCTCTGTTAAAAGAAATCCACCAAATATTTCATAATTTTAACCAGTAATAGTTTTAATTATTGTAGTCTCAGCAATGTTGAGATTTAAATTGGAATAGATTAATAGTCTCTTCTAAAACAGCACACCAGCCAATAGCATGACAGACGATGCAATAATCCAAAAAAATCAATTTATTTATTAAATTAAAATAGATGGCATTGAAATGATCAAAAAAGTTGAAAGCTTTTTCTATTCAGGAACAAACCACATAGAGTGATACTTGAACCCAATATATGCAATCCAAATACTTATATTAAATTAAAAGAATTATATTCAGCCATTTAGGTCTAACGACTTCTCTTGAGTCTATATCAAAATACATTACAGTAGCAATACTATGTAGAATTATTGTTAGTAGCATCAAAAGACATCACTTGATATAGTGGTATCATAAATATTTCACTTTTTACAATACATATATGTATATGTCTCTATTCTCCAAACTATACTGCATTACCTCTATGCAGTATTAATTATGATACCATTTCCTTTAATGTCAATTTATTTTGTTTTATAAAAAAAATGTTGATGTAATTTCTATATACAAATATTGTAGTACATATTTTCCTAACAAAAATAAAAGAAATTTCAGTAACTCATTTTGTACTTTTGCTATCAAATCTGTAGTTCAGATTACAGCTACAATGTCTAAAATACCAGAACATATAACACCTTTGCACGAATCGTTGTACAGTACTATTCTTGAAATTGCTAGTACTTCAAGCGTTATTAATGAAAGTGACTTGGATAAAATCTTTCCCGATAAATGTGACCATTCACATACTTTCAGAAAGGAGATAGCGACTTATGGTAGCAAGTCTACGCAAAGTACAGATAAGGACCGCGATCTCTCATTGACGTCGAAAAGTAAAACAGGGAAATCTTTTGAACAACCGTCTGACTCTTTACGAGCTAGTGATACGGATTCCGATAGCGGTTGGGTTGTTGTGTCACCATCTAAATCACTTATGATGCAACGGCGACCACCGCATTTAAACTCATATCTATTGGAGCAAAAGGAATTGAATCCTCCTCCATATAGTGCTTTAACATTAAGTGAAGAAGAAATGCTGCCTGGAATAAAACCAACAACAGATGAGTGCTCTACATACGCAGAACGATATTTATGTCAAGATATAGAACCTGAAGCGGAAGCATCAACGAAAACAACTCAATCGCGGATAGAAGAACGATTTCCATCTCGAATAAACCCAAGTATGGAACAGCTTCCTACCTACGTTGGGCGATATCTATGGCAGGAAGTGGATTCTAAGGCAAATTCTTCATCAGCTGAAATCCAACATCTGAGAGAAGAATGTACGCTGTCTCAAATAAAATCTACAACAAAAAAGTTGCCTGCATATGAAGGACGATATCTATGGCAAGAAACAAAAGCAGGGGCGCAACCCTTAGTGGCAAGTGGTGAAAATCCAAAAGAAAAAACAATGTCTCAAGTAACCCCGAGAGATCAACATTTGCCCTTATATGTAGAGCGTGCCTTGTTTCAGAAAATGGGATTGGAATGTAGATCTACACCAAATAATATTCAGCTACTGAGAGAAGAACATATGTCATCTCAAATTAAACTGTCCACACAGCAACGATCCATAAATGCCGATCGATGTCTATTTGAGGTAACACAACTGAATCCGAAACCGTCAACCAATGTCAAACTGCTGAAGCAGGAGAACAATCTGTCTCAAGCAAAACTAAAACCACAACAACTGTCCTCATATGCAAAACAGAGAGAGGAGAAGGAAGAACAGAGGTCACCTCAAATGAAACATATATCACCACAACTGTCCACTAATGCAGGTCGATACCAATTTGAGAAAACAGAAGCAGATCCGAAATCTTCATCAAAAGAAAAGCTACCCGAAATAAAATCTGAAACTCGGCACATACCTATCTATGTAGAGCAATGGCTATTTGAGAAGACGAAGTCAAAACTGAAAGAAGAACAGAGATCATATCTTATTGAACCAATAAAGTTACAGCGGCCCACAAATACAGATCTGTGTCTATTTGAGAAACCAGAACCAAATCGGAAATTATCACCAACTAGAGCAGAAATACTAAGGGAAAACGAAAAACAATCTCAACTAAAAGCAAATACTCAGCCCCTGCTCAAATACGTAGAGCGATGCCCATTTGAAAAGACGGAATCAAGACCAAAACCACCACTGGACAGTATTCAACAAAGAGAAGAACGGAGGTCATCTCAAATTAAGCCAACAACATCACAAGTTTTCATTAATGCAAGCCGTTCTCCGGTTGATATAACACTGCCATATCGGAAAGGTGTACAGACAATATCAGAACCAATGAAAGTAAAAGAAAAACAGAGCTCATCTCAAAATAAGCCGGCAACGCTACAACTGTCCACTAATGTGATTCGAAGTGTATATGAGAGACCAGAACTGTATGGGAAAGCCTCACAGACCAGAACAGAATCATTAAGGGAAAAAGAAAATTTATCTCAAACAAAACATACAGCTCAATTCTTACCTTTACATATAGAGCAGTTGCTATCTGAGACGACAGACCCAGAACGAAGATTTACACATGATAAAATTGATTTACTGAGAGAAGAACACAGATCATTTCAAGGTACACCGATAACGCCTACAAGTACGGATGGATATTTATTTGAGAAACCAAAACCGACAACTGAACTGTCCATAGAACCAGATCGATGTATATTTGAGAAAACAGGACCAGATCGGAATTCTTCACCAACCACAGTCCATCTCATGCGGGAAAATGGAAATACGTTTCGTAAAAAACCAATAACACAACACCTATCAACAGTTATAGATCAATTTCTATTTGCAGACACGGATTCCACTCGAATTTCATCATCAACTAGCCCCCAAAAAATAAAGGAAGATGTAGATCCGTCTCAAATAAAATTGAAAGCGCAACAATTGACTACATATGTAGATCGAGTTCTGTTTACGGGCACAGAATCGAAACGAAATCTTCAAGCGTCTAGTCCTCAGTCACTGAAGGAACAGCAAATATCGTTTCAAATGAAACTGACAACGCAAAAAATGTCTCCAAGTTCAAATCGATGTGCAATTGAAAAATCAAAATCGAATCAGACATCCCTTACAACTGCTGTGCAACAGCTGAGGGAAGAACAGGTGCCATCTAAAATAAAATTATCCACATACGTAGATCATTGTTTAACTGAGAAACAAGAATCGGAGTTCGATAGAGATCGATCAACGAGGGAAAAGCAGACTGCAATTCAACAGCCAACGCGTAATATAGGTCAATGTCAACATGAGCAATTAAAATTGCATCAAAAACCTTTGCCAAATAATATTCAGTTGATGAACGAAAAACAAATGCTGTCTAAAGTAAAGCAACTATCTACAGACGCACATCAACGACTATTTCCGCAAACAGTTTCCGATCGAAAATCTTGCCACGATACAACGAGACCACTGAATGAGAAACAGACTTTATGCCAAAAACAATCGACAATTCAAACACTGCCCCTAGATGATGTTCGCTGTCTACATAAGAAATCAGAATCGAATCAAAAATGTATGCCAAATAATTTGCAACAACTAATGCAAGAAGGGAGTTCGGTAAAATCGACAACACATTGGCTACCACCGGAGATAAATCAATACCTAATAGAGCAGGGAGAATTGGAGCTGGAACTGTACACATGTACAGGCCAATGTTTATTAGAAAAAACAAAATCAGAGAGATCGGATCAACCCCAAACAGTGAAGGAAACACAGATACCGTCTCAAAGAAAATCGGTAGCTATAAATATAAATCGACGTCTGCGTGAGCAAACATCGGTTCAGATGCCTTCATCAAACATAACTCAAAAAATGACTGAACAACAGTTACTATCCACATATGCTAACTCGAATATAAAGGAAAGAGCAGAGAGGAAGAGCGAACCTCTGCAGCATACAGTTCAACTTTCTGGAAAAGAACCTGTGTCATCTGAAATTGAGCAAACGGCTAAACGGCTGTCCACACAAATACGGCTACCTCCATCGGGTAGTGCTCAAATGGCAGGGGTAGGAGAGTTGGAGTTTAAAAAAAAACCAAAATTAGAACACTCACCCACATATGTAGAACAGTGTGGATGGGAGGGAATACAATTTAAGTCAAATCCCCGACCGCAAAATGCTCAACCTATAAAAAAAGAACATGTATTACACCAAATAAAACCGACAGCTCAACAGCAGTTGGCATACACAGGATCACAGACCGCAACTCAACCATTGGTGAAAGAAGAGTTGCTATCTAAAATAAAAGCAAAAAATGAGCAATTGCATACATATATAGATGGATTCATTCGAGAGAAAATGGAATTGGTGTCAAAAGATCCTCAAGTCACGTTTCAACCAATTATGGAACAACGAATGTCTTGTCAAATAAAATCAACAATAAAACAACCCACAGTTGAGGAACAATATATGTGTGAAAATAATGAATCGGTATCGAAAACTCTAACACATGAAGCTTCAGCACTGACAGAAGAAAATAAGCTACTTCACATAAAATCGATGGCACATCAGCTGTCGGCATATGTAGAGCAATGTTTGTTTGAGAAAAAAGAATCTGCGATAACATCTACAATGGATAAAACTGATTCAATGATGGAAAAACAGGATCCATCGCAAATAAAACATACATTACAGCCACAGTCCACGAATGTCGATCAATGTATACTTGAAGAAGTAGAATCTGAAGCGAAACCTCAAGCGGAAAAAGTTCAACCAGTGACGAAAACACAAATATCGTCTATATTTAAACCAATAACACAAACGGTGTTAACATATGTAAATCGATATATATTTAAGAAAGTAGAATCAGAGACAAATCACTTACTGGATCAATCTCAACCTCAACCCTTGAAAGAGGGACAAACCTCTATAATAAAATCGATAACACAATTTTTGTCGACAAATAAAGAGGTAAATCAAAAGTTGAACACTCAAACGGAGCTTAGTCAAAATGTTGATGAAGCAATAAAAGGTTTACCAATCAAATACCCAGCTTGCTTTGACATCTTTATAGATAACGACGACGAGTTGCAAATGTTTAGAAATCAAATCTTAGATACTTATAAAAGAAGATTGGAAGAAATTAGGATTTATGCTAACAATGATATAAATGTGAGTTAATAATTAATAATAATAATAATAATAATAATATATCTAACAATCTAACAACATATCATATAGGTACATATTTTAGTATGTAGTTTCATGATAGCACTTTAATCAATTAACTTATATACTATTATTATAAAATTTTTCAATTGAACTTACTTGAACTTATATATTTCTGATGTGGTTTACAAAGCATAATGATATCTAAATCTTGACGAAGGACATGCTAAACTTGTTTTCTGTATTTTTCGAATATATTTTAAGAACTATTTGGCTGCAAAATTGCGGCTGTGGGTCATCAACTTTGCCACTTCTGAAATCCATTACAGCTTTCAGAAACATCCAATTATAGCAATGTATTTTAATGAAAGTTTCCAAATCTACAGAACTATGTCTTTAATTATACACTTGCATCTCTCATCTTTTCTATATAACTACAGATAATACTATATAGTTTCAGTCGCCTTTGAGCATTTATGAAATGAAGTCTGCCTAGATTTTGTGATCGGTCGCTACATTCTATAATCGAAAGTAATTAAATTTATTAAAGTACATATGTGATTAAATTATCGTACAAACATATGAGTTAGTCCTTAGATTTTGAACATAAGTACATATTACATAAAGTGTATATCCAATAATTAATTAGAAATATTTTTAACTTCCAGCTCAGGAAAATAACTTATGAGGAACAGGAATCAATTATGGGTAAATTAGCCAGTTCAATGGCAGCTAATACTAAAGAGTTTGAAGAGGAACTAATGGAGCTCTTAAATAACGCTAAGGCCAAAACAAAGAAGAAAGCAAAAAAAGGTGGTAAAAATCAAAACAAACGCAGATGCGAACAATGCCGCAGCGATTTAGAAGAAAAAGTACAATTGGTTCGTAGCTCTTATAATAATGATAACTAGAACTGAGATAGTGCTTACTTAAAAACCGTATCTGTATCTGTAGATGTTAATTTTAATAGCTTTAATCAATTCTTTGCTTTAATCAAATTCTTATATTTTCTTTCTTTCCCTGCAGGATGAATCTAATGCGTGATGTGATGAAGATAAACAAAATTGGAAGTCTGGATCCTTAAATTAAATAGTTTCAATATATTTTATAAATTTAAATTATTGGTAGATTTTTTCGGTGAAGGCATAATATAACAAATCCTATTAAATTTGAAAATAGATTTAATTCATTAACGCCACTTTTTTTCTACTTAAAATGAAAATAAATTATAATCACATCGTGCGTAATGTAGACTATTTAATCGTATACCTCATGATATATTTGATATTTTAAAAAAAAGGACATACATTTAGCTTTAAGTTACTGTAGTCTATAAGCAAATTACTATGGATTACATGTTGTAAAATTATGTATTGCTCACTAGAGAATGTATTACAGTGTTATATGATTACATATGATAAGTTCCAGCAGTGAACCAGAAAACCACTTCATTGTCTTGATAAAACAGATAGTAGTTTTAGTATCTATAGTAATGATATCGGAGAGGCACTTAAGGAACGGAGATTGTAGAGCGTATAGATATTGCTGTCCAGTTAGCGACAGCGTAGATAAGTGAAAATACCTCTTGTGTTAATCAACGTAATCAACAACTATCTAAGCAATATTTACGTGGCACATAGGTGGTCACCGTAATAATATATTTAATAGTGCCCGTTGTTACCAAATGCTCCATTCGCCGTCACATTCCTTCGTGTCATGTTTATATTGACACTAATTGCAATTGAGCTAACATTAGTGATGTCGAATATAAACCTGGACTAACAGCCCTCAATACAGATGCAGTGTCCTCTTCGAGACCATAATTGCATAACAACAAACAGAACTCCCATTAATATCATCCAATTGTCCTAGCCCAATTGAAGTCAGGATATAGCTATGTACCAAACAGTTACATGCTACGCATAAATTATGTTGCCCATCTGTTTTCATACCCCAATGTACACACCAATTTGATTTTCGAGTTCTCTTCTCCTCTTAGCTCTCTTTCTACAGCTACGCATACAGCGCATCATTATCATTATATTAGCAGTTTTGTACCTGCGAAAGCAATTGTTTATAACAGGCTATCTTTCAGCTTGCTCTTTCAAGGAATATTGAAAAAAAAAAAACTATTTGATTTTTCAATTTATTTAGAAAAATTGAACTACACAAATAACAATATTTATTATATTATTCAGTTTGTTGTTTCGTAAATGTCTATAAAAAATGTATACCTAATATTAATTCTACAAATTAATTATAATTATTATAATTGATCTGAAGCTTTGGTTAGTTTGATATCAACATTCTATACAAGTGTGCTCATTTATAACTGAATGTTCCTTGCATTTCTATAAAAATGACATGAGAGCAGATTCATTCATTACCGTAAACAAAATAAACCAATATGGGCAATTAGAACCGATAATCGTTGATAATAGTTATGATTCAGTAGTTATACAGTATTATTCAAGTTATAATATATAAAGCTAATAGTTAATTATATATATATATATATAAAAATTTATGAGAGGAAATAGCCAATATAATTTTTTTCAATTGCACATTTTGGCTTATTTTGTTTAAAGATTCATTAATTCTAAAAGTTTGAATCGCGCTTATCGTCAAGTCACATTTAATTTTATTTAAAGTTAAATTATATTTATTTGAGCAAATTGACACAGACTCACAAGTCGGTCAATAGTGATTAACACCAATGTATGGGTATCAACGAGCATCTAAAAATTTGTACATAAATTCATAATCATACAGAAATTGTATATTTTTGGATTCGTTATATGTATTAGCGTTATATTAGATGTTCTAAAAGTATTCGCCAGCCGCTGCGTAAGCTTTTGGGCAGTTTAATTCAGCAAATTTTGCGTACGGTGCATTCGAACCAACCTTTACAAGCTTGCCTTTCGAATGCTTATTCCAAAAATGTAATACATATGATTGTTGTGTGCGAGCTTCTACGTCTTCAAGGCAGGTTTCATCAAAAAAGGCTTCCCAATCTACCCAGGGTATGGCATAAAAAGCTTCACGTGAAAACACGTTAAAACCCAAGCAACGAGTACGATCGTTAACCAAAAGATCCATATTTTCAGTGCTACAAATTGATTGCATGACACGTGTGATCACACCAGGACCATTATTACCCCAATCATTACCATCGAATTTTGTTTGAAAATCATGTAAGCATTTTGCGGCTATATCATGTCCAAAGCCATCAGGAGCAAAATTAATAACACCAGCTGCAATAAATCTATCTGATTCAGCGCCACTAAAATTCGGTGCTATGTCTTCAATTGTTTGCAACATTATTATGTCCATATCCAAATATGTACCACCCCAACGGTACAACGTTAAAAATCGCAAAAAATCTGATATGTGCGATATCACATATCTAAAAATAACAAGTATAAATTATTGGCTTCATAAATTCATACTACAAATAATCTTTAAAAAGTGCTCACTTGGATTTGAAAAGTTCGCCATCGAGAAACCATTCATGTATAGGCGTATTGGCAGCATATGTCCACATATTTAAATTCCGTAAAAATATATTTGGGTAGGACAGTAAAGCTTTGATAACAGGATGATGAAGAGTTTGGTTCGTTTGGTATGTTGGACTAGCAAATAAAACAAATACATCTAAATTTGGATTGTGTAGTGCGGCAGACTCAATGGCGCAAGCTTGACGAGCGTTTAATTCGACTAAATTAATATGTGTGTTTAAAGGTTTCGCTAACTGTCGGCAGCTAGTCTCATGAAAGAATATACTGCGTCCCGGCTTTGGTTTCAGTTCTGCTATAAGTACATCCTCCAACAATTGGGGGACAGTATTGCCAACAGATGGGTCAGTATATGCAACCATTTCGGGCATCTCTGAATTTATATAGCAATACCTTATATCCACATTTGATTTAAATATAATATATATCAACAATGGTATCGTGAACACCATTAAAATCACCAGCACAATCCGAACACGAAGTACAGATCTCATAAAGCGTGCTAATAAGTTGTGGAACATTTTTACGTTATCCAATGGCAGATTACTCACTATAGCTGCCAATTGATACAAATTCAACGATTATATATAATATCTTACATATTTATTATCATTTGAAAAAGACTGACTTAACACGAAAACAATAATGCACAACAAACAAATACAAGAAAATCATATGTCATTTTGACATTTGCTTTTTAACTCTTCTTCACAGTATCCTTGTGGTGTGATGTTATATATGATAACACAGTATCAAAAAATTTATCTGTTTTTTAAAATAATATATACAATACAAGTAAATATGCAGACTGAGATTCGGTGGTAAAAACTCCAATGATAAACATTATATGTCTTACAACGTAGTTATATTATACTGGCATTGTTAAAAAAGATAGGAACAGGATATCACTCAGTGTGAATTATCTCTATTATAATATCCACACGATTTAAAATCTTCTTATGGCTCATAAAATTTTAAGCCTGCTATAACAACCCTTAAATGATTTTGGTTTAATCACTTATAACTTAATAATAACAATTCATTTCATATATTTAATATTAGGAATTTTCGTGCTGAAGGCAAAAGTGAATTTGCCGAAATATGTATAGATATATACTAAAAATTAACGTTCGAAGTAAAAGTTAATATTCTTAAAAAAAACCGACTTTAAAACAATTTATTATCAATTTTCGTAAAAACCATCACTTTGAATCAGTATGTAAATACATTAAATCTAGTTTAATGTAGCTTCAAGTTTCAAAACTTTAAAATTTATTTTAAAACAGATTAAAAGTAACAATATTAATAAACTTAATTCATCAAAGCCAGAAATAGGCACAGTCAGACACAGTTATTAACAATATCTAAAATTCTTCCGAAAAAATATTTTATTAAAAATAATGATGGTGAGACAATTTAAAAGAAGTCAAAAAACAATGAATTGACATGAAGAATATTGTCAAGAGGACATGATATTAATTAAATTATCATCTAACAACAGTGGCGTAACTACATTTTTTAGGCCCATAAGCGAATTATAATTAGGGAACTCCTACTAATATCTTTTTATACCCTTTACACGAAAAAGTGTAAAAAAGCTATATTAGGTTTGTGAAGATTTTCGTATCGTCTGTTTGAAGTCTGTTTCAGTTTCTGAACAATGTGTCAATTTATTCTGTGTATCACAATTAGCAAAGGCATCATTTAAATCGTTTACTCCTTCAGTTTTGTTTTCATTTATTTTAAGAAAATTGTCTAGTTTTGGTAATTTCTTTAATGTTAATAATGAATGCATAAATTTATAATGGGGCCCCCTAAGTTCGGGGGCCCGAAAGCGTTGCTTCCAGTCGCTTCCCTGTAGTTACGCCACTGTCTAACAATAAAGAATTAGTAATCATTAATGCCATATACTTTCAAATAGTTATAAAGAAAGGAAACTATACGCATTTGTAATGTATATAATCACGAAGAACTTTTTTTTCAAAGGAATAAATTAATTCGATTTGTTAGGAGTTGATTCCTAGCCACAAGGGCTAAAGAAAGGTACAGAAAAATTGACTATAGTGTTATATTTCAACTTTTTTGACTTTTAGTTAAATATTCGATATTCCAAAAATATTATTAATAGCGTTTTGATAATGCAAAATTAAATGAAAATTTTCAACACAACTCTAAATAGTAATATGGAAAATTTAGAAAAAAATGCGTGAAAGACATAATTTTAGTGATTTAATTTATTTTTTTTTTTTACAACGGCAGGACTAAATGTTTAGGCACACAAAATGACTTATTTCAATACTCAGACATTTTTAGGCTTGATGCACGATTAGGAGAAAAAACACTTTATGTTACCCAGTTTTTAATAAAATTCCAGCCTTACTGCAATTTCAATCATCCAAACTTCTATAATAGATCTGTTCGTAGTAAAACTCAAGTAAATCATAAGTAAAGTACAAACTGAGAGCGTAACACAAATAAAGTGCCAAATTACGCTCTTTACACAGATTTTCATGGAACAGCTTTGTATTAAATCTGGTGAGAACACCGGTACCCCGCAAATAAACAATACAAAAATATAAATTCAAACCAAAACAGCTGATTCACACAACACAAATATTTCTTGAAATAAAATGTTTGAGTAAAGTTTGTGTAGCATTTTCAAATTTCGACAGGGATGTTATGTGCTCTCAGATACACTCATTTATTCGAAAATTTGCTTGTGGAACGCACTTGTGTATACACAGAGTTACTCAAAGTTACTATGAGTAGCTCGTGGAACAGATCTAATGTGAATGTAAACTTTCAGTAATAAATGTAGGTGTATCATTTAATAATAAAATATGTCTACAGTACGCATTAATTTTTCTTAGTTTTTACTGCTTTTTGCCAGTTTTTACTTGTACAGAATAAATGAGCAAAATCAGGCACAATAAGAGAGATAAAGAGAAATTGTTTTTACTGGTAATATTTTGACAAAAATTAACGATAATAAGAAGGCATTCAAATAAAATTAAATAAAAATTATAACTCCATTAAGTTGCAAAAAGTATTTTTATATTTGTTATATGTGGGTTTTATAATCATTCATATAAATTTAATTAAAAATTTTAATGTAACAAATATTTTGTGATTTTTGTTATTCAACTTGTTTTTACTGATTTTGTGTTTTCATACATTAATCAGCAATTGACAAAAGAATTTTTACACACTTCATTTTAGGAAATCATAAATAAAGGAAGTATTAATTCATGGCAATATCGAAGAGCATTAAATTAATAACATAAAACTATTTCTCAATTTTTGTTTGCGTTTCAAAAGAACCTTGTAAAAGAGTGCAATTTGCAATTTTCTAAATTATTAAATAATATGCAAAGATAAATGACATATCAATACAATTGGTTTAAATTCTCGTAACGAAATTATCTCTGATCTATTAACAATACCAGAACTGTCAAGTATTAAAATCCGTATGTCTGACAGTCAGAAAATATACTGATACATAATTCTCGTGACGAAATTTTGACATCAAAAAACTGAATTCAAACAACGAAATTACTCAGAAACTATCTTATTTTAACAAACACCGAGGTAAGTAAGGACGGATGGGCAATATAACAAAACCAGGAGGGAAAAATTATTGATTACCATTACTTAGCATAAGGTTTTTGTTTTTGTACGACATAATATTTTCGCCTTATCACACAACATTTTAAATATTATTCCTATAATTCAGAAATTTTTATAAACAATTTTTCAAATAATTCTCAGTTTCTTTTGCTTCTCTTCTTTGGTTAATGTGTTTGAAAGAAATGTTTTTTTAAATAGCGGGAAAATGCAACTATGCGATTTTTGCTTGTTTCTTTTGTGCTGTCATTTTCGTACGGCTAACGCCGCTGTTGGCGTACAAAATTTTAAGTATATTTGTAAACGGTTCCGAGAACTTTACAAATTCGCAAAACATGCTAGTTATGCGGAATTGATTGAGCGTCAAATATAAAGTAAGAGCAAAAAGACAATTGTAGCTGAAATAAAAATTGGTGCAAGTTTCGTTATTTGCTTCTTGGCTGATTTATTTGATTGAGGTTAAGTTTCTGTATCTAAATTATTAAAGGAACAGTCTGGAACTAAGAAACGGTCTTCAATATGAATGGGCCACCTGCAGCTGTGCCTGTGCCGCCTGCAATGGGTTACCCGCCGTCAATTGTGCCACAATTTAGTATTCCGCCTCCGGGTTTCGGTGCACCTCCAGCTGAAATTGTTGCATTTGGTGGTGCATTACCTACTACCGAGTGGACTGAACATAAAGCACCGGACGGGCGTCCATATTATTACAACAATACAACAAAGCAAAGTTCTTGGGAGAAACCCGAAATATTAATGTCGCCCGCTGAACGTATTATTTATCAATGTCCTTGGAAAGAATATCGTTCAGATGTAGGCAAAGTGTACTTTCATAACATTAAAACAAAAGAATCATGTTGGGAGGCGCCTGCTGAATATATTGAAATGCAAGCGAAAGTTAAGGCTGAAGAGTAAGTAATTCAATATGCATTGCGATTGTAATTTTACGATTTGATTAACTTTAATGTATTTTTCTTTATAATTTGAAGAGCTGCTGTTGCTGCTAAGGCTGTGGCGGCGCTAACTTCTTCAACGTTAGTGGGAATAATGCCACCTGCTGCGCTTGCTAACATTATTCCTGCTACGTTACCTACGGTTAAAAAACCAATTACTCCTGATATACATTCTCCATTAACCCCAGGTAGCAATGAAAACTCTTCGTCAGCGTTAGATCAAGCAATGGCTGCAACATTGGCAGCGATTCAAATTCCAGAGCCAAGTCCTGAACTAAAAGAAGGTAAATGTAATGATTAAATGTTGAAACTTCATCATTTTTACACTTCATATTTTGTTTTAGATAAAAAAGATATTCCAGCTGAAAAAACAAAAATTGTGTTTAAAGATCGTAGAGAAGCAATAGATGCCTTTAAAGATTTACTGCGTGAGAAGAATATACCATCCAATGCCAACTGGGACCAATGCGTCAAAATTTTATCAAAGGACTCTAGATATAGTGCCTTTAAGAATTTAAATGAAAAGAAGCAAACTTTTAATGCGTATAAAACTCAAAAATTAAAAGATGAACGAGAAGAATCTCGTTTACGCGCAAAGAAAGCAAAAGAAGACTTGGAACGCTTTCTTATGACTACTGACAAAATGAATTCGCAAATGAAGTTTTATAAATGTGAAGAAGAATTTGCAGCTAATAGAATTTGGACAAGTGTTCCGGAACAAGACAGGCGGGATATATACGAGGATTGTGTATTTAATTTAGCTAAGCGCGAACGGGAAGATTCGCGTCAACTTAAAAAACGAAACATGAAGGTGTTAAGTGAACTTCTAGAGTCAATGTCTTCTGTTACTTATGGATCTACATGGTCTGAAGCACAAGTTATGCTATTAGAAAATGCTTCTTTTAAAAATGATGTTAATTTGTTGGGTATGGATAAAGAAGATGCTTTATTAGTATTCGAAGAACATATACGTAATTTGGAAAAAGAAGATGAAGAGGAACAAGAACGTGAAAAGAAACGCCTCAAACGACAACAACGTAAGAATCGAGATGCGTTCATTAATTTACTCGATCTTTTACACGAAGAAGGAAAGCTGACATCGATGTCGCTTTGGGTAGAATTGTATCCTGTAATATCTTCAGACCTTAGATTTTCAGCAATGCTTGGGCAACCGGGCTCTACTCCACTCGACTTATTTAAATTTTATGTTGAAGACTTAAAAGCTCGCTTCCATGATGAAAAGAAAATTATACGTGAAATACTCAAGGAGAAAGAATACGTTGTGCAAACAAATACTACATTTGAAAATTTCGCAACGGTTGTTTGTGAAGATAAACGTTCAGCGAATCTAGATGCTGGCAATGTGAAATTGACATATAACTCACTTTTAGAAAAGGTAATAAGGCATAAAATACAACAACAAATATCACATTTATACGATCTATTTTTTCATTATACAGGCTGAAACGGCAGAAAAAGAACGCGTCAAAGAGCAAACGCGCATTCGTCGTAAATTGGAAAATGACATTAAAACCGTTTGGTTAGAAGCTAATTTAAATATAAATGCAACATATGAGGAGGCAAAGAAATTGGTGGATCATTTAGATACATCTTCTCATGTTGATAAGGCAACTGAGGTACGACGTATTTGGGAAGAGTATGTTAAAGAAAGTGAAGATGCTTGCAGTCATCATCATGTTCGTCCTAAAAAATCTAAGAAGAATAAAAAGCATAGAAAGAGAACTTTGTCTAGCTCGAAATCTGTAAGTATATTAAAGTATTATTTGATAATATATATAATGTAATTCCTTAATCCTTAACGTAGGATATTGAAAATGAACAATCAGATGTGGAGCGCGACAAAGTTAAGAAAGTTAAAAAATCCAGAACAAGATCGGTGAGTGATTTTTGTTAAATTTTTTTTTAGAAATTTAAAAACACTATTTGTATTTTTTTAATTTGTTTATGTTTTAAGTGCTTGTAAATAATTTGTAAACTTCACGAGTGCTTTCACGAATAAGTTTTCGTAGATATTTCGAAATTTGTACTGCAATTAGGTATTAGGTATTTCTGTTGGGTTTTCACCATCACTTGCTAAAAGGTAAACATACGATTTAAAAATTGGTGGTGGTGGATAGATTTTAAGTAATTTAATATTATTAACGAAAACTTGTTCATGTAAGCATTTTACGATATTGTTACCGATTTTTTTGCGATTTGGTATGTTATTAATAGAGTATTGTTACCATTTTTTGTTTCTGTTTTTTAGCGCTCACAAAACTCAAGCGTTGAAGTTGAGAATGAAATTGTTAAGAAAAAGAAAAATAAACGAAAAAATAAGGCTTTCTTTAAATCGGTAAGTAGATCGAACATAGTGCAGTGAATATGCAGTAAATATGTTACAATTCAGTCCTTCAGTTTCTCAAATAAAAAGCATAAAAAATATATAAACATAAATGTTAAATAATCTTCATACAGCGTTATTTTAATAATTTTTTGGTGTCGAATCTTACCTAAATCAAATTAAACTTTGTTAAAAATAATAAGGTAACATACTTAGAAAATAGGATACTGTTAAAGGTATCTTCACGATACCGAGCTTGATATACTCTGTAAGGTTAAATGAACTTTGGCTGTACGCATCCACTATTCAATTGGATATTAAGTGTTTGGCAGTGTTGCTTTATATGTGACCATTCGTGATTCGTGACCAGATCACAAAAGTTTTAATGAATTAGATACTATACTCTACTAAATTTTACAGTTGCTGCTAGCTAATAGCACTAAAAATTAGGAATGGTTTGACAAAAACCATCTCAAAAATGGCAGTAATTGACGAATAAGTGTACCACTATGCTTTAAAATGTCTGAAGAAAACTTCTGTACAAACAATTTCAATGCTAAAAACATATACTATATTTTGAAAGTGTCGTCGATATTTCTTTATAGCATTCAATAGATCTTGATGAATTGTGCGAGTTATAGTTTATGCTAACATAATAAAATGTAAACAAATATTTATATTAAATTTGAAAATGTGTTTCTTTTACTTCCTTTTAGAGCTCGTGTGAATCCGATTTAGGATCGTTTACCGGTTCCCCATCAATTATACAAAATGATGATATAGTTAGTGCTAATTCTAAGAAAAAAAAGAAAGAGAAAAAGAGTAAAAAGGACAAGGAATCACGAAAACATCATTACCACCGACGATCAGTTACACCGTCTAGTCCTGCAGTCAGTAATTCAGATAATACAAGCTCGCACAATGGTGATGATCAAGCGCTCAGTGAAACTGAATTGGAATCTAAACGTGCAGCCCTTTTGGCTCAGCTAAAAGAACAAATGGATGAATGACATGCCAAAATTCTCAAATAATAGCACAAGTATATTTATACAGAAGTCTTAATAAGAAAGGTTCCTTAAAAAACAAAAATTGATTTTTAGTTTTAGAATATTGAATCAAATATAAGACGTTTTGCATCAAAAGCCTACTCCATCAATGATGGGATTACACATCTAGAACCGAATTGTTCGCAGTTTCAAACAAAGCTGAAAAAAGTGTCCCAAATGCCTTTTTTTTTTTTTTTTTTTAATTTTTAATTACAATTTTGAATGTAATTATTTGTTCTTTAATTAAGCATTTATTGATTCTTAATTTTATAAAAATACATTCGATTTCAAAAACACGCTCCAAAACCCTTTCGAGTATTTTAGATGTTAGTGAAGACAACGTACTCCTGTGCTTTCGTTATTTTATCAGCGATAAGTAAAACAAATATCATGTCGGGAATGCATATTCATTGAAGATGTTTTTGCAACAACATATGGAAAAGTTTTCATTTGTATATCTTAACTTCAATATATATACTTATGAATGTAAATTTTTGTATGTTAATATTTTTTATTAATTTAAAACTTAAATACGAAATAGCTTTTAAACACTAACGAGGACATATTTTAAAATATAAGAATTATGACAAATAAAAGTACAATCTAAAAAATAATTTATAAACGGCATTTTATTATTTTTATTCAAGTTTAATTAATTTGTATTCAGGTTCTGAGTTTTTTTATCAGTCAAGGCTTGGACCGCCTGGAGCGCAAATTGCGCAGATTACTTGATTAATCGCGCTCGTTAACATTTCTTTTCAAACAGTTTGATTTCCTTTTTATGTTAAAATCGCATTACCACTGGCGAGAAGTGCTCTATGTGTATCGTCACCTTGCGTCAAAATATTTTATTTAAGATTTTAACTTCAATTGAATTTGTAGGGATATTTCCGTTGTCGAAAATTCTGCTGAGATTGTAACTTCTTTTTTTCAATTTATTTTTAATTGGTTTATTGTTAAAAATTCCTACATCTTAACGATATGAAAAATAAAATGTTATTTGGACAAATTTTAATTTTGGTTTAGAATTTGAATTCTTTATATTTCTTAGTGGTTTTGGTTTGTTCAGTTTGTTGACGTTTCCGTTTGGATTTCTGGCGTGCTACATGTTCTGCCAACATATCTGAAAGATCTTCTTTCTGTAAATTATTCTGTTGTTCCCGCATTTGTTGTTCGTAGCGCATAGCCATAGCTTCGTTGTCCATATCCAATTCGGATGGATCAAGAGCTAACTCAACAGTGCCTTCCCTTTCTACAGCTACTGTGGTGCGAACTGTGGCTTGTTTATTAACGCCGGCCATTTCGTATACATGAGTGGAGCCCATCATAGATGCTCCGACACGTTCGCCTCGTTTTTCAGGTAACACTTGGTACAATACAGGGGTTTCATTACTAGGATAAAAGACAAAAATTATTTTTCTTCAGTAATTGTGATAAAATTATCTACTCACTCTTCAATTTCAGCTTCAATCTTCTTTTTGCGCAATTCAATGTTTTCTGGCGTTTCCATTCCGGCAGGTACGCTAGTAAGGCCAGATGGAGTTACCAAACCTCCAGCTGGTGTAATCAGGCCACTCTCATCTTGTCCAGCGGTTAGATCTTCACCATCTTCATCTTCTTCATCGGATGATTCCTCAGATTCTGATTCTAGTTCACCCCACTGGTTACGTTCAATATCACCTTCATCTATACCAGTCTATAAAACAGAAAAAAAAATTATTTTATTATAGTATTTTTTAATAAGCTTTTGTAACTTACGTCCATATCCATAATGTTGGTACCAAAAACATCACCATACAAAGGTTTACCATTCTCATCGACTGGTGGTTTTCCCCAACCTCCAGCATGATAACCGAAGGACGTAGCTTCGGGAATCGGTGCATTCAAACCAGGTATCTTGAGGTTTGGGTATGATGGTGGAGGTCCATATCGTTGTTGTGCAATTAACCAGGGAGGTGGTATTTTATGTGAATTTGGACCCACTGGCATACCTAAAGCAATACGCAACTCTTCAGATAAGTCACCTGGTTTCTTTTCTTTAAGACGTGTTTCAAATTCTTTTCCTTCGTAGTATAAATCACCATGTATAGTCATACGTGGTTTAGTTTGCCATTTAAAGAATGCATCATGTAGTTTTTGATAATCTATATCGATTTTACCCATTTTTGGGCGAACACGTTCTCTCATTTTGGTTTTCAATGATTTAGCATCATCTTTCTCCTGTAGTGATTCTCGCATCTCCATTATACCAGTTTTCTTGATAAATGCAGGAAGGTCAAAAGGTGGTTTTTCAATACCTCGCTTGCCTTGCAAGTACTTACGTTTGAAACACCAATGCCGTGGCACTTGAACCGTATTACGATAAGCTTTTAATTGCACTAACAATTTGGGATCACGCGCAGTAACGTCATGCATTTCGACCACATCAGGACGTGAAACTAATTGCTTAAGTTCTGCGACGCTTAGTCGAGTTAACTTCTTTAATTTCCGTTTTGACAGCTTCTCTTTGTCTTCCTTGCCTTCCTAAAAATTAAAAAAAAAAGTTACAAATACATTTCAATATAGTAAAATTCGTGTTCATACTTCTTCTATTTCATCATCATCGTCGTCTTGCGACTTTTCATTAAATTTTCTGTGCGCATTAGGACCATTACTTTCACTAGCTGCTTTATCTTTTTCTGTGCCCTTAGGTTTATTCTCTAATTTAAATATTTCAAAAACTCTGTAAAATTGACGATACATTGGCGCTAAATCGGCTATTGTAATTTTTTCAGGCACATATCTGCAATTAAATTAGACTATAGAATCATGCATTAACAAATAATGAACTACTTACTCAATAGAGACATCATCACCTGCTTTGCCTTTGTCTTTGGTGGTATTCTTTTCCACAATTTTATTACTAGATTTCTTATCTTTAGGTTTTTGTTCAGACTTTTCATGGACTGTACTAACATCAATTTCATGCCTTTCCAACGTAAATTTCTGTTGTTGTTGTTGTCGTATTTTGCGGTTTTGCTTCTTACGCTTCTTCTTCTTTTTATTTTTTTCAGCCCTACTTTGTTTCTCACTTTTTGACTTCACACCATTATGTGTAGCATCATCCAATTCATCGTCAGATTCGTCGCCACCATCTACATAATCACTACTGATCACGCTGTTTGTTAAATTGTCTTTCATGTTTGAACGTGCGTTTCTCTCATTTATATAATCATCATTTTCATCAAATGCCGCAGCTCGTTGGTCCTTTAAAGCCAAAACATCCTCTAAAGCTTTAGGCAACACTACTTCTACAGATTTCTTTGTTTTGTCATCCAAATTTGCATCAGCATTCTCATTTGAAGTACCTGAATTATTCAATGCAGCATCTGACATGGGCGACTGTTGTTTGGAAACTTGCTCTGCGATTGTTTCAGGTCTTATTGACGGATTCCACTGCTGAGGTGGAATGTTTGGTTTATTTACACCGATATTTGAGAAGTTGGGAGGAGTTTGCATAATGATCGGAGGTGGCGTACGCAAATTTGGCATTGGCATAAGCGACGAAGCACCTGGCGGCATCATTTGTTGTGGCGGAGGGGGAAGACGGTGTTGGACCTGCAAAATTATAGATGTTAAATAGTTGAATGGCATTAAATATAATAGCCTTTCATTACCTCAACAATGTGATCACCCATTTTAATATTACTTATCTTTTTTTGCTATGAATTTCTCAAGAATCGCCGACTTTATATTTTTCTTTTGCAAAAAGAAATGCAACGGCGTAATGCCAGCTCGATATAAAAATATGCGTTGCCAACCTTTTTTTTTTTTAAAGACTGAGCTACCGCGCACACAGCCAGATATATAACACATACGTCGATTTCTTTGACTTTATTTTCTATAAGTTGTTATATTCATTTGTTTTCGAAACCAAAAAAAAAATAATGATCATGATTTATCGATATAATTATATAAGGAGGACTATTTACAAGGACGGACAGACACGGCATCCAGTTACCGGTTACAAAAAATCTTTCATATATAAAAAAAAAACGTTATGCAGCCAGTTTGCATGACCATGGATTTTGAATGTATCAGTGAAATATATTTGAATGCGTGCATAAAGACTGCTGTTGAAATGTTTGACAAAATATTGAATTATTTTAACTTATCTGCATGCAATATATTATCGATAAATAAATAAACACGGTGTGTATGTGAATTTAAATACGAAATTTATCTATAAGTGTGTGGTATGTAGTCGATTTTTCGCACAAAATCTAATGCATTTCTTTTATGAAAGCACATACATTTTGGAAATGTGGCAATAATGGAAGCAAGTTTTAATAAAACTAAGAAGAAAACTCATATACGGGTCTTCAGTGGGATAAATTTAAACAAAGCATAACGACTGACTGGTAACTCTATGTAAAAAGAGTTAAAAAGTTTATATAATATGCTGTTAATTGTATGAAATTGTACGAAATACTTGAACTTTCCAAAAGTAATGGCATTTTCGATCGGTAAAATTGGATTCAATCTAGTTTAACAAGCCAATTGAATTAAAATTTAATTTCTAACTTGTTTTTCTATGTAGTTGTACCCAACATTTACCACAAAATTTTCAACAATACTGTTTTTTTGTTTTTGTAATTCGCATAAAGTTGAAAAATATATCTTCATTCAAAGCCGAATGTGTTATTATTTTGATTTTATATAATTTTTTTTAAAACTGCAGCCAAATATATAAGCAAACAACATATTGGGTTCAAGTGGAAACATATCACACTTTTTATGTCAAGTCATATAAAATAGCTGTTAATTTCAGGGTAATCTTGCTACTCTGGCAAAATACTTTGAAAATGTAAAGTTTTAAAGAAAACTCAAAAAATTAAGGCGATGTGGCATCACTATTTCTTCACGTGTATTTTGTTGAGTTGGTAAACTGCTCACTAATTATTATTTAAATTGTAAATATTTCTGAATTCAATATGTTTAAATTTAATTTTAATGTTGAGGAAGATTGTGACAATAAATTTTTAAAAGGATTATCAGAAGAGAAAGATTTATGGTAAAAAGTTTGTATTTGATTTTAATTTATTTGTAAAAGACTTCAAAGAGTTTTTGGTTTTTTCAGCTCGAACAGTGATGCGAACATTGACTGGTACGATTCCCAAAAGATTGATATTGACGAAGAAATAATCAACAAATTGGATGTATTTAAACTAAATTCAGTAGAGAAAAGATTTGGTGAAGTTACTATAATATATATAAAATCGGGTCTTTTACTTCAAAATGTATTTCATGATGAAATGTTAAAAGACATAAAAGCGGCAGAGGAAAGCCACTCTGATTTGCTACCAGGCATTTACGAAGGTTAGCGCAACACAATTTTAAAGTGATTTTGATTTTAAATATACGATTTTTTAGAAGTTTATTTACATTGAACGTAGGTGGTGCTAAAATTTGGGAATGCACTGATGATTTATTAGAATATATTAGCGCACACAAGTTTTCGTTTGCTTGGCAGGAAAAACTCGTGTTGGACTTGGGATGTGGTTCGGGACTACTTGGGATTTACTCATATAAATGCGGAGCAACTGTGCACTTCCAAGATTATGTATAAATCTACTTTTTTTGTACAAATATTATTTTATTTATGTATATATTTTAAGAATGAGGACGTTTTAAAAGAAATAACTATACCAAACTTTTTGCTGAACAATTTGCAGTCTGTTGATGACAAAGAATTGGATATTAAAAAAATAAATGGGATTGCAAAATTTTATTCTGGTGATTGGGAGAAATATTATAACGTAACCAAAAATGATGCAAGATTTGATTTGATTTTGACTTCGGAAACAATTTATAATATCCAAAATCAGGAAAAGTTACTTAATTGCTTTGATACCAGGCTTGCATCAAATGGAATTATTTTAGTGGCAGCAAAGACTTATTATTTTGGTGTTGGGGGTGGTGTAAAGCAGTTCGAGAAATTGATCGCTGAAGATGGCCGATTTTGTGCTAAAGTAGTGTGGACTGTAACGGAAGGAATCGGTAGAGCCATATTAGAACTAAGGAGAAAGGATATATAGTGGTCCTAGAATAATTTATTTCAGGCTGTAATACAATAAATTTCTTATTTCGGTTTGTCTCAAGCTGTAACGTAAGTATTGCTAATAACAGCAATATTTTTGACAATAACAAAACAGAGAACCTAACCGAACAACTTATCACTTTAAAAAATGTTTTCTGTTAAAAATAGATTAATTTTAATATATGAACTTTTTTAAAACAATTTGTTTTAAATTTATATTAAGTAAAGCAAGTTAAGTAAAAAGGTCAATTACATAGAAATAAAAAAAAACTATAATTTATTATTTAACTAACAAAATATACAATGCTTTTATTTCGATTAAATTGACCAATTAGCCCACTAATAAAATATATATTTTTGGTCACAAATAAAAGAATAAAATATTTTAAGTAAGAAGGTTAATTGTTTTTTTTTTAAATAAATAAAGACATTTTTGAGAAGTAGTAAACTACAACAACAAAAATTCTTTTTTATATCATTTTAATTAATTAAATTTTCGGCTGACCATACAGCTGTTTCGAGTATTGCCAAATACCCATCATCAGTGGTCTTGGAAATAATTCTTGTATTTTAATTATTCGGAAATAATTTTTTTTTTGAGACTACAAGTATCAGTAATTAAAATCGTGCCTGCCAAATTTGAAGCTCAGAGTCAGCGCTCCTTAACCAACTGATTCAAAGCCGTACTTGACTAGTATAAAATAAATAAATTTAATGAAAAATATTTTTAAAGTTACAAGTAGGTTATATATCTGGATTTTTACCTTTTAATGTTTGTTCACAAGAATGCAAACCTAACTGATAAATACTAGAGCTGTTCGTATTTGGTTTTACGAATTATTCGAAGAATCCGATTAATCGGATAGTAAACGAAGTCTACGGAGTTGAAAAACTTATTGGATATTTTGAAAACCCGGAGTCTACGAAAATCCGGATTTGCGATTATTATTCGCAGTGAAATTATTTGGGGACTTTGTGGAGAAAAGTTATTTAAGCACAAGATGCGAACGAACGAGCATCATACAAATAAACACAAATTTTTTTAGGGATAGAATTTGTTGTTGTTTGTACGATTGTCTATGTTTGGTATTTTACTCAGAAAATTATATGTGTGTAATGTTTGTTTTTCGTTTTATTTTATTTATTCTATTACATATTATTAAATAAACAAATAATAAATTCAAATGACATTTGTTAGTAATGGCGTTTTCGACTGGTAAATCTAGAACACATTTTTCAGTCGAGATGCTCTTTTAGGGCAACTTTATTTTCGTTTGGTAAATCTGAGCTAAAATGTAAAACACTCGAGACTAATTTATAACACACTAGATATTTTGCCGGTATAGCAAGATTACCCTGAAATTAATAGCAGTTTTACTTGATTTGAAATATAAAGTATGTTTTGATTCGATATATATATTAAAAAAAACATAAATGTTTACCAACACTACTATTAAAATGTTAGATTACTCTAAAAAAACGTTCGATTAGGCTATATACTTTGTCAGATTGAGAATAAATCTAGATTGAATCCAGATTTACCATTTGAAAACGCCATAAGCAAGACATGTCGAGGCACATAAAGCCCCATCTTGTGATCAAATTTTAATCGAAATATCTTACGTTCTTAATTTTTTTTTTGATTTAAATTGAAAACAATAACAAATTTTCATTTGACGTAACCGTGACTGTCTATATGGCTCTTAGGCTCTCAGCTCTTCTGGAATAAATCTATAATTTAATTTTGAAAAAAATTGTTTATTATATTCCATCCAGTTATTTCAGACTGACAATATTTTTTTATAAATGGTCGTAATTGTGTGGTTCGGAAAATACACTATATAAATAATCAATAAAATTTTTATTTTCGATGAATTAGGACGGCAACTCTACTCCATTGCGGTTGTCAAAGTTCTGCCGTTGCTGTAGCTGACGCTGACGCCGTCGCTGTTTTCTTAAAAATCAATCGTTGTGAACCCAATTCCGTTTATTTGTGTAAGATGCTTGATTTATTTTTAGTATAAAATATGTGATACATAACACACCCAAGTATATTGTAAATTAATTATTTTATTTTTGTAAAGTACAATTTTCAGTTAACAACACAGAAACTAGTCTCAAATCTTATCTAGATTTAAATTTATTTATTTTACCAATTTGTAACATGCTGCTCGGTGTTTTGCTATCAATTTTGTTATCGCTTTGATTACTACAATGACTGCATTTTCTAAAACAATTGGAGCAGCTGAAGCTGACAAGGAGAGGTTATATGATTTGCCTAGTTGCAATTGCTTTAACAAGGGAATCGGAAGTCCATTTTTATTAGGAAACTGTTGCAATAAGTCGGGCGCTGCTTTATTATCAACACGGTAAGTTAAACCATTAAAATAATGATAGTTTAAAATATATTAAACAATGGTTTCCTATTTGGTTAGACCAGTTGCCTTCCACGTTCCAGAGAAACGAAGTTTTGTTGGCATGTTACTTGCATTTCAGGATCGATTAAGGATTCCATGGCGGGGCGGTGCCAAACAATTCTCATTTGATGTTATATTGCCCATATTCGTTTTGCCCATATTGATCGGCATAGCGGCTATTAATGCTTATACAGCTACTGTGATATTCGTGTCGGGAACCGTTTTCATTACCTATGCTTACCTGCAAGTCAAACGCGCACTGGTGCGCACGCGTTTCTTCTGCTTGTGGATATTATGGTCCATTTTATATATGCTAATTCTTTTCGAATTCACGGTGCCTTTGTTTGAGTTGCTGCCGGAAGAAAATATTATTTTAATGATGCTTGTGTTTGGAGCTTTCTTCTGTTTACTACGCACTAAGCAGCGAGCTGTTTTAAATGTAATTGTTTATGATAAGAGTTCCGTAAACAAAACTGATCTGCCAAATATAATTGAGGATTCTCCTGATGAGGAAGTCGATGCACCGTCGCAAACTACATTACTGCTTGAACAGGATTATCATGACGGCGATGTTATGGGCGAACGTCCATTAACGTCTAAAATGAATGCATGTCCCACTTGCCGCAAATATACATCTTTCAAAGCTGGACATTGTACTGTATGCACGGCATGTATTATGCGACATGATCATCACAGCTATTGGCTTGACTGCTGCATAGGAATGTCAAATCATCTTTACTATTTAATAGGACTACTTTTGGCAGAACTTGCTTTACTTCTTGGTGCTTATTTAACTCTTACAGCTGTGTGCCATCCCTTCTTATTGCTTCGAGTGGTAAATGTACCGATTATGCTACCAGACGATTGTACAGATGTTTTCGATGAGTACGAGTAAGTTTGCAGCACATACGACTATGAGCTATATTAAATTCAAATAACACGAAAATAATTTTTTTTAGGCTCGGCGTATCTTTTGTGGTTGCAGTTTATGCAGTAATAATTGCGGCTTACGTATTGATGGCGTTGGTTCGACAAATATATAGAATATCGCGTGGACAACCCGAAGAACAAAATACTTGCTTCTATAACTGGAGAGCGTTTTTATTTTGAATGGACAACATTAGCATACAAAATTGTGGAAGTGGTAGTTCAAGTCTGTGTATATATATTTGTAAATTGCGCTGGTAAAGTTTGATAGCGGCAATTAAGGTATGCAATGCATTACAGTTGCTCACTGTCGCATATTTAGGACAAAATCTGTTCAAACATATGTTGATTGCAGTTTCGGAGTGTCAATATAAGAGAGCCAAAGTAGCGGAAAGACTCAAAAACCAACGAAATATGTGGTTTGGATATAGAAGATTTGATGCAGTGCAGAATAGATTTTTTTTTTTCAATTCAATTACTTACTGAATTATTAGTAATCGTTCCGTTGTATTATAGTGACTAGTAGGCAAAAATTTAATCACGAGTGTTGTGAGCGAATACAATGTTATTCTAGCCAATCCAATGCAGCAAAATTTTTATATGCAATCGTAGTATAAAATTTATTTTTGTATTTATGTAATATAGTATCGCTTATGATATATACTAAAATAGTTGAAGGATATTTAACACTCAATGGTATCACTCCAAGTATTAATTTTCAGTATTAAACTTAAGTCAAATCAATCGGGATTTGAGATTTGGTTCTCAATGCTTTCCCAGATCTTAAGTTCAAAAGACGGGGGAATGTATTAAGATTGTATAGTATCATTGTTAAGACCCTTACTCTATGCCACAGCATTTGTTTTAGTAGTGTATGGTCTTGCCGAAATTGCTTTGAAGAGCTTGACTCAAAATGCTGCATTAAGATTTTACACAGCATCATCACCCAGACTCCTAACTTCTAATATTTCATTCACAATTCAGATTATAGAAAGAAAACTAATTCATTATTAAAAAATTGCAAATAGTCAAAGTACATATAGTGTGCAAAGTAGTAACCTAATAGGACCTTTATAGTTACTTATTACATTTAACAAAATTACAGTTACTTCTACATAAATTAAATTAAATTACAATACATAAATGTACTTACAATAAAACTTCAACTAATAAACACACTATTATGATGAAACTTAGCAAAATGTTTAAATTACTGCAGTATGGTTAGATCAAATTCTGCATAACTAGTCCGGATATAGATATGTGTGCAACAAATGCCTTTCTATGTTGAGGTAAACACGAATTTTCAGTTATTTCTCCTTCAATCACCTTCCTAATATAATCATCATCCATCAAGTTGCTTGCCTTTCTAATTCATCCCACCTCACGTGTTTGTCTTTTAATCCATTTATGTTCCTGATTTTGGGATGCCTAAATAGCTTAGATTAAAAACAAATTCTAATATTGCTTTTGTAGCTCTAAGTATATTTATCTCAATGGCTTCCAGAAATGTAAACTGAGATCAAATAGAAAGAGTCAATGTAGACTTGACCGCTTCTTGCACCTGAATGCATTAAATATTAAAATAGAATTTAAATTTTCTTAGTTGATATTTCTAACTTTTATTACAACCAAAATAAATGAAAAACAATTCACATATAAAGTACAAAAAATAAAACAACAAAATTAACTAATTTCGATTTAATGGAACATAATCCGGTAGAAGTTCCCATATTTTCATTCTCCATCGTTGACGACGTTCTTCAGTTTCACGTTCTAGGCACAAAATATGTGGAAGACGCCGCCAACAATCTATAACCTTCCAACGTGTGTGCCTAAAGTTAAAAATATTTATATATTTATATATAATATTTAAGAGTTTATCAATTGTTATAATATAAAATATTAATTCGAGTATTAGTAGAACATATGCGCCTTAACATATATACTTCAAAAACAATCTATATTTTTTAAGGAGAAAGAAACTTACCATTCATAATGTAGTTTGGCTTTTTCCATTTTCATATTTTCAATTGTTTTCATTTTTTTAGTGTAGGTAAACCACGTTTGGAACACTGATTCAGTCAGTTTCAGATCGTACCAATCTATAGCCGTTTGATATTTTTTGCGTTCTTCGTGAACGTATTCCTTCCATGCATGTATAGCATTGCGCTTCAGTATCACATCATGAAGAGCATCAGCACGTTCAATGTTCTGAGTACGTTGAGTGACATAAAAGTCGCGCCATGCCCAAAAGTAGTTCCTTTTGAATATGTTTCGTTTCAAAACTTCACATTTGCGTATGTAAGTGTGTTTCAGTTGTATTAATCGCTTAAATCCCTCCATGCCAACTCGACGTAACAGCAGTATACGATGAAATTCCTGTGCTTTGCGATTGTTTTCTATGGCTCGTTGGCGTTCCCGTTCTTTTATAATTTTAGCCATCTTTTCTTGGCGACGTTTTTCTCTAAGCGCCTCAATTCTCATTCGCTTTGCTTCTTCGTCTTCCAGTCTCTGTAATAATTAATGACATTAATAATTTTAAACACTTTTTAAATTTGCAAAGTTTTTTGATATTCTGATAACGTGAGCAGTGTGTGACATTTTATTCATTACTGGAAATGAAGAAATTCTAACAACTCTGGTAAGCGTTCCATAGTATTCCCTGACAAGTGATATCGGGAACTGCAGTTAGGCGTTCGTACAACCCGCATAAGATATGTTTACGAATAATAATTATCCTAGAAAATAATAGGTGTTCTAGGGTAAGTTGCCTAGTTAAGATGAGTTGAGTCATCCCTTTAAAATTAACGAAAAAGCAAAATACTAATCTTAATGTCTTTACTTAATACTTAATTGATAAAGTGACTTTTTCGACAACGTGCCTGCATCGACATAAGGTTCTAAAATAAGTTTATGTCTGACATCTTGAGAGATAGAAGGTGTTTTCTTCCTGTACTGTACAACTGTACTAACCAGCCCAATTTTAGATGGCGTACAACCATGAGGCTAAAATACGAGTATGCGCGATGTGTGCACCACTACTCCACTAATGACGCTGTGGAGTAGCGCAATCTTTCCTATTGCGTTCAAGAATTTGAATCTTTTTGACTTAAAGGTCTCAGTGAGGGTAACAGTCAGTGAGGTAATAAGTTTTCTTTATCTTCAATTGGACTAATTTTAATACGCAACCTACTTTTCCTCTTCCACATATTACTCTAACTCTTCCATTAAGCTTCTAGCTACATAAGATAGAACAACAGTAATTAATTACTTACCTTTGCCTCTTCCAGTGCTGCTTTCTGCGCCTCTCTTTCGGCTTCTTTTTGTAGTCGTCTTTGCCGCGCCTGTTCATGTTTAACGCTGCGCTCTAAAGCTCGTTCTTGCATATTTTGTAGAAATTTCGGTAGTAACATTGCTTTTCCCCTCAAGCGGGCCAGGTTACTTTCGTCGTCGGAATCTTGTAAATTACCAATGATTTGCAGACATTTCGCTTTAGCTTTAGATTTCGGATCACCAGATTTGAGCACTGCTTTTAGTTCGTTTTTAATGTCCTGTCGTGCTTCCTGTGCTTCTTTCGTAAAATTATTCACCTTCAATTGCATTATCAGGCGCTCCTGTTTCTCGAGTTTTAGTTTTTGTAAATCGATGATGTCCTGTTGAATTTTTATTCTAGCAAAGAAAATAACAAGTGAAAGTGCATACAAGTGAACAGATTATATTACTTGTTGAATTTACAATAGGCCCTAAACCTTTCTCCTATAATATCACTTACTTGTTTTGATATTTCTTCGTGGCATATATATTATCGAATTTTTTTTTGTGCACATCTACCACATTATGTTCTCGCTCATTCTCTCCGTCTGTTGGCTCGTTTTCAGATCCTTCGTTATCCTTGCATATGCGGTTATTTCGTAGAGGTCGCGATTTTACTTTACGTATTTGATCCAAAAAAAGGTTAATCTTTCGAACGCGATTGTTATTGCTAATGACATTTTCCCGTTCGATTTTCTCGATTGTTGTAAAATGGATCCATTTCAGAAAATACTTTCGCAAAGTCTTAATGTCTCTTTTGGCACGAACTTGAAATAGCTGTGTAATAATTAAATTCTGTTCTTGAGTGGATGAAGTCGTCTCTAAATCCTCTGAAGATGTCAGCTCAAATTCCTCAATATCCTCTTTAGCACAAGTAGTAGTTGCTTCCAAGCGCTTTATTATTAACATATCTGTAACACATGTTGGCTGAGATACCGGAATTTGTTCTGCTCTAATTTTCAAATCTAACGTGACCTCATTTTTTTCATCTACATCTGCGTTGTGTTGTGTAGCTTTAAGTGATTCTTCTGATTGTAGTTCCTTTAAAGCCTCTTCTGCTAAGTCGGATATAACTGAGTCTATATCATCTCCACTGTCTGAGTGATGTATTTTTTCTGAAATGTAACTGCGTCTCCAATCTTGATCCTCAAATTTTACACAACGACCACACATCACATCTCTCTCCCAGTCAGGAAGAGAACTTAATGTTTTTGTGTGAATATTGTGATCTTTGACTGTAGGTTTATTGATATGCATTTCATTTATCACATTTATGTCAGTAAGGTCACCGTCATTATGATAGATCGGTAGGGACGCAGTATTTTTATTTACTTCAGTTTTTGATACTGTGTTATTGGCTTCTTTTATCAAACTATTTTCTTTGTTGTGCTGTTCAGTGGTTGGTGGTGTCGCTGTTATTTCATTTATTGGAACTGAGTTTGCCTTATGAATATCTTCAGTGGTGATTTCGTTATTTGTATTTCTGGTTTCAGCTATCTTGCAATTTTTTGAAAGGCTCGCTGATTTGGGGTTTATGTTACTTGCATCGTTCGAACACGAGTTTTCATTTAAGGATGTAATGGTCTGTACCTGATTTTTTGTGCAGTCAGAGTTTGATTTTGAGATTTTAGATTCACGACCAGTATATCCTGCACCGTTAAAATTTGTTTGTGCAATGAACGTTTCAGAAAAGTTTTTCGATACTATATTTACTTTTTTGAACGATTTTAGTGGTGTCAATCGAAAGTCTTCAATATCCCAGGAACCAGTGGAAGAACGACGTTCTATGACTGCAGAATCAGCTATGAAGGAGTCGGCTTTCGTTTTGACGCTTTTAGGAATACTGGTAAGTTGGTATTGTCTTTCTAATTGTTGGCGATATTTCTTCAATTCATTGTCAAGATAATGTTCCTCTACAGCGGCATTGTGCGCACGACATGTTTCGAGACTGCGGCTTGCAACAATTTGCGCCGGCCTTTTTGGTATGTCCTGAAACTTAAATATGGTTCTAATTAAAAACTAACTTTAAAATTCGTCTGTCTGTCAATCCTTCATAGCTGGTCCTTTTTAAAGGTATAAACATATATGTACAATATGTTCCCAGCTCAGTGATAGTTTTTATTGCTTGTTTAAACGAATTAATAAAATAAAACGATTTGAAATTGAGTCAAGAAGTAATTAAAAATATGTATGTATATATTCTTTCTTTGCTAATATAAGAACAAGTATAAAATGAAAAAATGGGACTAATGCGAACTTACCACTTTGTGACGAATATCCATAACCAGCAGCGGATCCAGTCGTGATCTCTGACCAATTTCACCTTTGAGTATGCTTTCATTATGTTTGCCAATAAAATCCTTGTCTATAAAGCGCCGGATTGCATCGGAGTTTAGCGGTACCGTAGAGCTAGAGGAGTACCGCTTTCTAATACGATCCCAACGTGAATCTTTGCTTAGAACCATTTTTTCATGGCGGTTTTGCTTAATTAATGTCATCGGATATTTGTTTTTGATGTAAAATTGAAGTTTTTGAATAAAATATCTATGCTTTTGTTAAAAAAATTCTGTAACTGTTTGAATTGTTTTCTTTCTCGTAAACAAAATATGACATTTGTCTCCATGGGAACAGGAACATTTCAGGGTAGGCTTTATAAGGGCCATGTTATGCAGAGTGTCTCGGGCACGGCAAATTACGCTCTTTCGGGCTATGCCGAAAATGCATATTATGCAGAGTGTCACACCAGTATTGCCAATTTTATGTTTTTACTACTTCTTGGTACTTCTTGGTTGTGCCTAAATTTAAAAGGAAATTTAGATATCCTCACTTTCAATTTACCACCAAAAATAACTCGCATAAAAAAACTCATAGAGGCTGTAATAATGTTAATTTATTATTATATTATCTTATAATAATTGTTAACAGTACTTACGCGTTTCTTTAAAATCGAAAAGTGTAATAATTATATTATTAGCGATTTGTAAAAAAAATGCTGTGTTGCTTACTGCCATTTTTTCTCCAAAACGTACTAGAATTGTAGTAGTTTGCTCCTAAAAGGCACAAATTTTGAAATTTATTACTAAACAACACTGTTTTGCCTTAGTGCCGGGGCACAAATACGCCGGCTCTCATGCCGGAGTTCGAACGGCCATATTGTTTTTTCTCTCACTCTCAAATTTAAAATTTGCATTGAAAACAAAAACAATTGTACTCATGCCGTGCCCGAGACACTCTGCATAACATGGCCCTAACATGGCCCTAACATGGCCCTAAAAGAAGTAATACATTCAAGTGACAGTATAAATGTATGTTAGTATTGTAGAATAGAGAACACATATATGTAGTGACATAAAGTTGCTTCTTCTTAGTAATGATATGAATTACTCCTATTTATAATTAATAATAATTTACATATGTATATAGGTTATTGTTATATGGGTTTAAGATTTCATTCCTTTCAGAAATAACCTTTTGCAAATAAAGACTCAGAATCAAATCTTATTGTATAAAAGAACTTTATTGCACGATAATAATACTGCCTTGTTGTACGGCAGTACTTGACTATACGATTAAAAAATACAGAATGTATAAAGCCCTGAAACTATCTACGAAAACCGACAGACTTACCAACAGCCAGTTATCAAATCTCAGAATGGTTACTGGCTCCTCGGAGAGGTATGTAGATCTTAGGTCAGTTATTACTTAGTGTGATGAAGTGATAAACAATAATCCAGTCAAGGCGTAGAGAGGGGTTATGAAGAAACCTCCCAGTTAATAGAAAGTAAAAATGCTCAAGTGCTTAAGTGCACTGACTCAACTAGCCTCAACATAATAATAAAAAGATTAAAAATAAATTATTTATATTATATTAGTTACTTTTACGAAGATGACTACCTGAGATACTCAAAATATCGGAAAATAATTCAAGAAAAATACATAAAAAAATAACAATAAACGAACTCACACAATGTACTGTTTGGTGGCAAGTTTCGAGAGGAATGCTTGGTTATGGTTGGATCCAAAATTTTTGCAAATTTGTGCTTTTTGTTGAGTCTTATAGTTCATTCATAACCCCACCAAAAGTTACTAACACTAGAGAAGAACCCATATATAAACACGACAAATGTCAAAACAACCACCTTGTGTAGGCCCTCTTTGGTTTTGGCAAATGGCACTTGATCGTAGAACGGGATAATTGGCTCCGGGATGTAGACCAATCCGTTCTCGGATTCCAACCATCTCTCAATCCATTCTCACTTCTAAACAATTGTCTTTCCTTTCACAGAACCAATACCCATCCAAATCCTAATCCATGCATTCATTTTGTAACTCCTTTCACGAAAAAGAGTACTTAACATGTCAGCAATTTTATGTTTGTGCAGAATTGCTTGAAGAATTTTTGCTTATATTAAAGGCTGTTCACCTTACAAGTTATTGATGTCCACACATAAAACATCATCTTTCTGGGATTAAATGAGATGAACTCACAAAAGAAATTAATAACATTCCTCTAACAATATGTTGTCAGGGTATGGCCAGACGCAGGGTAACCTGCATCGTGGGTAGTGGTGTTACAACCTTAGCATCCAACGTCCAAACGTCCTCGCTTCAAATAGCTTTTTTGTTGCAGCATTGTATTCTATACTCAGGATATGATCAAGCCAGCGATGTAAATTCGCAGTAGTCGTTGACAGCTTGTAAGAGAGCAAGAACTTTCAGTGCTGCTTCATAACTCTATGATAGCATTAATACTTCTGTATTCTTTAATAGCAAATAGCAAACTTTTAAAGTAGCTAAATTTGGACCCACATTCCGATCATAGCCTGATCATTAGTTGATGTTTTGGAATAAATAAGTGAAAGAAATTTCTAGAATATTTTCCCAACATTTTTTACTAAGTTTTAAATATTTTTCATGATCCTTTTGTCGGTATATATATTGTACCATGTGCCATGGAACCGATAAGGTTCCCTGAGTTGATCGTATGATCTAAGTGTAACAAATAAACATTATTTTCGAGAATAGTTTGGCAGTTGAGTTTGTAAAAGTAAAAGCTTGTAAAAGTTTGCCAAAGACATGGAATTATAAAAAGTTAACGTCATAATTTTAAATACATTTGTCTTCTTATTTTCAATTAATTTGTTGAATCGTCTTAAAAGGAAGCTGGAGGGTTGACACCGTGATTGGCAGTATGTGTTGATATTAACCCTAGCTAGGCAACTATCTATAAAAAACAAACATTTATGAGTAGAGTAAGCATTACTTTTAATTTAAATTAAAAAAAGCAGATAAATAAATGCATTAATACGAAAATAAAAAAGAAAAACTTAAATTTTAAATAATTATTTAAATTAAATTTGAATTTTCCTTCAGAAAATGTCCAGTTGATTTGAAGACTGCCAATAGCAATACAAAACTAACAGCAGTTGCACCCATGCGTGCGCTTTATAGTTTTAAAATCCCTCCATTAAGCAGCTGCATCCTTTTTATTGGGATTCTTTTTGTTTGGAACTGTTTCGACGTCTATTGGTGCTGGTTTTACGAACGGAATCTCCTCTTGATACTTCTTGGGCATATACTTTTTGAGTGGTTCTGGCACTTTGATACCGGTTTCTGTTTGGTGTGTCTCCAGTATGGCGCATATTACGCGCGTTGTTGCGCACATAGTTGCGTTCAACATATGAACGTAGTCGACCGCGGCATTCATTTTCTTTGTTTGCCCATAACGCACAAGCAAACGACGCGCTTGGTAGTCTAGACAATTTGAGCATGAGACCAATTCTCTAAATGCGCCACTGCCACTGAACCAAGCCTCCAAATCTAATTTCTTAGAGGCAGCATGATTTAGTGCTCCTGAAACGATATTAACAATGCGATATGGTATACCAAGTGACTGACAGAAGTTTTCTGCATTTGCAATCATTTCGTCCATCATTTCCCACGATTTATTATCATGAGGTGAGGTAAGTACAAATTGTTCCACCTTTTCAAATTGATGCACACGGAAAATACCACGTGTGTCACGGCCGTGAGAACCAACTTCTTGTCTGAAGCATGTTGACAAACCGGCATACTTAATCGGTAATGAAGCCTCTGGCAACCATTCGTTTCTATGATAGGCAGCAATTGGTTGTTCTGAGGTAGCAATGAGATATTTTTCATCTACTCCGCCCTCGTCAGCACGTTCACTACCTTTGCCAACAACTTTATAAAGCTCTTCGTCGAATTGTGAAAGTTGGGCGACTTCCTGCATTACTTCTTTACGCATGAAGAATGGTGTGTAGAGGGGAGTGTAGTCACGCTCGTGTAATAAATGCAAAGCATGCTGTATCAACGCTTGCTCTAGAAAGACTGCTGCACCAGTTAGAAAATAACCTCGTCCACCCGACACTACGGCACCTTTTTCACCGTTCATACCATCAATCATGACAATGAGATCAACATGCGAATATTTGGCTTTACTTTCGCAATTGCCATAAGTGCGTTCCACGCGATTTTCATCCTCGTCGTTCGATACTGGTACTGATTCATGCAGATGATTGCCAACTTCGCGTAATGCTGTATTTCGTTTTTGTTCAGCTTCTTGCAATAGGCGCTCGTTTTCCACCATTGCCTCATCAATAAGTACGCGTACTTTTTTAATTTGATTAACAGTGAGTTGACGCAATATATCTGCAGTTAATTGGGTCAAATCCTTTTGTATCTCGTCTGGCACAGCATCGGATACATCACCCACTGCCTCTTTCTTTTTCATTTTTTCACCTATTTCCTTACTGCACACATTTTTGACTTTGTTCAAATTATCGGCACGGTGTCGTCTTTGTCGCCACTCTGTATCTTCATTGATGACTGTCTCAACTAAGGCCACATCTTTAAAGCGTTTTTTCTGGTTTTCCTTGACCGCCTCTGGATTCCCTCCTTTGTCACTGCGAAACAAATCCAAATCGAGCACCATGATGAAATAATTCAATATACTTAGTTCACTTAGTTCTTAGTTCTCAGTTCTCGGTTAATTATATTACGAACACAGCCGTGATTCACAACAACGTGGCTGACCAACGAAACAAAATGTTGACGTTTGTTTTTGTGTCATTCGTAGTAACGAAGTCGGCCGCGTAACAGTGTTGCCCTGTACCTCAAAATAAATGCATGCTAATTCCTTGTCAAAAATATACTACCATTTCATACATGTGTACATATGTGTGCATTGATATGAATATGGTATTTTATATATATAAATTACATTTAAAAATGTTATTATAATGTGTATCATAAAAATTTTCTTCATCAAAAAAGCACAAACTTTTTAATGGGTTAAATTACGCGAATTTCATTCCGATTTATTTCGATACAAAATTTCCGTCACTTGCTTGCTTCGGTAGTTGGCCATTCCTTTATTCCATCATTCGTTAGTATAGAAAGTGCAAGTTGCTCGAACGCACTTTTCAATTTCTAAGAAATAAATAAGTTTGTATAATAGTTTGTATGTAAATCGATATACACAACAAAACCGAATTTAATAGTGAATAGTATTTGTCCGCGCTCTCCATTGGCCTACGGGAAGGAATATTATGAGCATTATTGATTTTGAACTTGAAGAATTCCGTAAACTCTGCGAAAATGTCGTGCCCAACTCAAAAATAATTGCTTGCACTACTGACAATCCGTTCGTGCGCGTAGAGATCTGTGAGAACAAATTCAATCGCAATATTGTTTGTTGTCTTCGGTTTCCGGATTTGTATCCCCAGCAACCTGTGCTGGTAGAATTAAAAAGCCGTACACTATCAGATAAGTTTTTACAAGGACTTTCCAAACTTTGCGAAACGAAGGCGCGCGAACATCTTGGAAAGCCCCAATGTGTGTTGGTGCTGAAGTTTTTGCAGCAATATTTGGTTGAGAATCCACTTTGTGTCTGTTTTGACGAAATACAACAGCTGCGGCGCGACTTACAATCCGAAGAAACTGATGGCGAACAATTGAAGCTGAAGCAGAAAATCCAAACTGTTCAATTTTGTGCAAGAGGAGGTGCCTATTTTTATCGTCTACGTGCTGTCATACCGGATGATTATCCACAGCAATGCGTCGATTTGCAGAATGCCGAAACGAATTTGCCGGCTGTACTCCTGCGTTACTTGAATGGTCAGTCGCGCGAAATTGCACGACAATGTGTACAAGAGCCTTTACGTGTAACGAAGGGTAAAAAGCAAACTAACACTACGTTTAAGCCGGTGCCAAGTTTGTATCGATCACTAAAATTTTGCCTTGAGGCAACACGAGATTTCTATAAAGAGTTGTGCCCAATATGTAGTTCGGGAGTTTTACCACCTGATCCAGAAAAATTGGTGGTAGATGACACTAAAGACGAATACGTTGAACGAGTATACTGTGGACACCTCTTTCATCAAGGTTGCCTAAAACGCTTTCTACGTGAACCACCATTTCCAAAAGGCGGCAAGTTATGCCCAGCAAAACGTCGTCATCCACGTTCGGATGCAAACAATTACTTGGGCGGTGGGATTGGCAAGCAGATCGCAGATGTACGTGAACAATGTTCTAGTGAAACGTGTGGCATACGTTTAGCACACGATCGTTGGGTAGTAAATGTCAAAGTTGCTGAATCACGCTGGGCCCAGAAGCAGGCACGCGAGCGTGAACTTGAAGAAGTGGTCGATTTCTTGAAGTGAGCAGCAATTTAAAATTTATATAAGCAAGTAAATACTTAATTTTGACGATACAAATATTTTATCAGAATATTGTCAAATATGTTTCTAATGTAGTTTAAGGTAAAATTCCAAATAAAAAGTGTAAAACATATGTCAATTGGGGTTTCTAAAATTTCACGTTTAGTTTTTTTTCTTCTAAATATATATTCTTTCGAGCTTTACTGTAGAGAAATCAAGTGGCACACGTTGGACACAATCAAATACTGCGCTAATACAGTTCTTAATTTGACTGCAGGAGAAACGATTAAATTAAAGCTCCTACCCTCGCTCAACTAATATCTATCCAAATCGCAATTCATATATTCGTCCTGTAATTTCTTTCATGTAATCTGCTTTACTGACCCATGCGAACCGCAACAGCAACAACAATATTCTCTGCTAAGAACTGAAATATAATTAGAAAATCTCATATTAATATTACTGATGCTTTTTCGTTTAATTTTTACTGGAGTGTTGATATTCCTAATATCAACTAACATAAAATTCACAACTGCGCTTAGCAACTTCATATAATTCCAATAAGCTGTCCACTTGTTGGCTTCCCGTCTTACAAGAAGGTATTAGAATTTCGTTGTGAATTGCGCTTAGTTCCATATATCTTGACATTTATCTATATTAGTTTGGAAGGTCTCAACGCTACCCCTGGTATTATTAACATACGTCTCTAGTATTGTTTATCACTACAAGTTGACAAATTCCGAAATGGAAATAGATATATATGGATTTAATATATAATGTATAGATTTAATAAAGATGGATTGATTGGATAATGCATTTGCCATTTAATAATTGCTATATGACGCTTATATAGGCGCTGCAGCTTCTATTATTCTAATATAAAATCATTAAAAATGAAATAAAAGTAAACCATGTGATAAAAAGATCTTAGAAAGTGAACTTTCCATTAGTTGCACAGTTAATATAATATAATATAAAATAAAAAAAATAAGGAAACATTTTTTCTGTATTAAATTTATTTAACGTTTATTCAAATTTCAAACAATAAATTAAACAAAACATTTGTACGATTTTAATATCAATGAGTTATTTGAGACTAGTGACCAGTAGTACCTATGCACGTACTAGTTTTTGAGATTCAGTGCATTTTGATGTATTCGCGTATATACATTCAGAGAATGTCTACAGCTATTTGCGGAAATATATTGTCCATTGTCTATTGTGCCATAGCGTCCATATAAATGAAAAGACAGTTGTCTTCAAGCATTGAACAGCTTCTATTAATAGTCTAAATGGCTAAATGGCACATAGGCCAGATAATGGACAAGATATTTCCCTGTGCATTAGGTGCTAATAAATGTCATAATTGGAAGACGAAACGCTTAAAATTAAAACATTTAGAATAATTTTATAAAAGTCTTATAATAAATAATAAATTCGTATGATTGTGTTTTCGATTCTTCACGTCTTCTGCAACAGTTTACAGTTTCAAATAAAATTATGTATAATATATAAAATATTGAAATAATCAATTTGAAGATAGATAGATGTCATGAATTAGTTTGGTATTCGTATTTTTGACATACATATATCGTTTATATAGTGTATATTTTTTAATATCTAGTTATCGTCATAAAAAATAATAGCCGTGTGAAAATTTTGCTGATATTGATGCAGTGGAGTGGAAGCGGATTAAGCTCCTTCAGGCTATTTACAGCAATGGATGAAAATACGTACGAGGATGTCTATTTTCATAGAACTTATCCGACTTTAAACATAACGTCTAGACTTTATGGCACGTGATATGATGAACTGACTGATTGTAATATACTAACACTTTCAGTTAAACTGCAGAATTTGTTCATATGAACACAGATTTCTTCCTACTGCTTTCATAGACACACTAAGTTTGTTGTTAGTCATTTTAATTATTGAGAAATGTTGTGCATTGAGGATAAAATAATTGCAAAAAATTGTGGGATATATCGTTCACTTATATAACTTAACGTATCTGATATTAAAGTAGATGTTAATATCTAAAATTCTGTTACAATTTCGCCTTCCTCGTGCCGTTTAATAGGGTCACCTTTTAGTAGCGCAGATATCATGCTGAAAAGTTGAAAAATTAATATACTTTATTTTAGCATTTTCACTTTTAATTCTCACCAATAGAGTGCCACAAAGAACATAGTAAAATAGTAGCCTAAGTATATCATACAATTACGTAGATGTACTTTGAGCAGACCGCGACTGTGTATGTCGACAGGATCATAAACGCCGAGGCTATCACGCGGCTGCTTGTAAATTTCGTATCCCAGCCAAACGACAATGGGTAAATTCAACAAAAACATAATCCAATGACCGCCCAACAGCAGTAAAATGCAAAGTAAAGCATGTGAACCGAATTTTGGATGCACCCAAAAATTAAGACGTGCGCAACATTCCTGTGCATTTAAGTAATCGCACTCTAAGTCGGCCAAAGTTAGAACCTGCAACGAAGAAGCAATTCATGTCTTTAGTGAATATTTATGCGTATAGCTTCGATTATAATAGCCAATCCAGCCCATCCGCAGAAGGCTGTAAACTTACATAGTATATCAGTAATAGTAATATAGCACCATAGACTAATAAGGTAATGGCATACGTAGCTGGTTCCGGTAACATATTCAATTTTAATTGAAAATATCACGAATTTTGCAGTTCAAAGTGAATGGAGTCTAATTTCGAATGAAGCACCACTTATTCTTTTTTATAAGTATTGTAAAAATGAATATATCACTTATTGTAGTTAAGTTTAATTCACTTTTAAGCGATCATTTAATACACTTTACTCCTCCCTTCTACACTAATGACAAAATAAATTAATGCATGTTTGTTTATTTTCTTATTTTTGTTTTTTATTGTACTTCGTTCTGCACAAACAAAACCTATTATTCAGACAATAATAAGAGTTCTGCTGAACTGTCAAAAAAAAGTAAATCAAACACTGCTACTAGATGTTGCATATTTTGACATTTCAAAATCGTCTTTGATGAACGCATAAAATCAAAATAAATTTAACATGATATAATATCACATAGCGCTATTTATGGTATAAAAATATTTCTGATTACGTAAAAACAAATTTTCTTAGGAAATGATATATTTGTAACTAAAATTTAAACCTTATTTCGCTATAAACAATAATCTGTTAAAGTAAGTAATAACGAATTATTTCGAAAAACTTGAGGCGCGCAAGATTGCTGCTGTCAGGAGTTTTATTTTTTACACTTAAGATGGCCCCATGTATATAGCATGGTAAAGCACCTTTCCAAAAATGAATGCTATAGGTATTTTATACTTTAAGTTGGAAGGAAGTGAAATTTTTTTTTGTTAGATGGCAGTGTAAAATATATTATCTAATTGCACTGTGGGTGGATATATTTGTTTGAATTAGCGGATCGAGAATTGTATAATTCGTCTGTCAGATCCACATAAGTTATAATTAACGCCTCTTGAAGAAATATCTTAACTGTTTGGTTAATAATTTCCCAGATTAATAAAATTATCCTGAAATTAACAGCTGTTTTATGTTATTTGTTAATTGAAATGTGTTTGCCATTTTACATATTTTAAATACTGTGTTTACTTGTAAACTAACAGTAAAAAATTAAATTAAAATATAGCAAATAATACTAAAAATAAATAAAATAATTCACTTTATTTCCATTCATTTTATTAAGTGGTACTGACTTGTCAACATAAAATATATGAAGCAGCCTAATAGCGTTAGGATTACCCTAAAAATACACGATTTTTACAAATTCATAACAAAATTTGAAATTCGAAAAAAAAGTGACAAATCGAGTGGATGCAAATCTAGATTTGCCAACGTCATAAGCACAGCACATCGTGGGTCTTGACTTCTTATGGCCGAATAACACTTGCTTGTATAATTTAAAGTGAAATAAATCATTTTAAATGTTTACTAATTGTGGCATAATTCCTATTCTTCGAATACTCGAATACAATAACTGATTTTATTAAATCCACATATTCTAGACCACTTGCTATTATGTCATATATCAATATAGCTAGTTTTTGAGATATCAGATTTTAAGGAGAGAAATCTCTACTACTAAATTGTTTTTTGAGTTTGACAGTTTTTCACTTTTATTGTTGTTCAATGACTTTGGTGTTACTTAATAACACCAACCTCCCTCCTACATCTCAGCCCAAAGTACTCTTCCCGTGGACTTCGTCCAGACCTTGCGTCATAAACCCCCCAATAACTCTCCCTTTATTTTGATAAGTGAGAATCCGATCTCTCCATCATCCCTCTCTATAATGGCGGCTTTCGTAATCCAGGTCATAGAGTCTACCGCTACTACCCCCGCGCTTGCGCTGTAACCCCACCCCCTTCACTATTTCCCAATCTCCCTTATTTACGCCCATGCCAAGCAAGAAACTTAGATGAAACTAGCCCGCTAGGTATTAAGCCTATCTGCTTTCATCTCCTTCCCCTGATAATTAGAATGAAGTTTCCTCATTGCTGTGGAAATCGATTATATTGTCTGAAATCTATCACAATTTCAAAAGCCTTGATTTGAACTTAATAGGAACACCGAGTTCAGACAGAACAGTGCTGATGTAATATTTTTCTGAAGCTATTGAATGCTGTCTTGTAATCGATAAAGCGGGCGTAGTTTTTTATGTTACATAAATTCTTGAGCTTTTTTTAGAAATAGGTACTTCCTAAAAACCTGGCCTACAGCAAAATATTTAAGTTTAAAAGCAGGACTGATAGGTTAATTAGACCAGATTATTATTATTATTATTATCTTTGTGGAATTTACACTGTGATCTAGAGATCAATTGTTAACCTTTCATATTTCTCCAAATATATCAGTTTTGATAGTTGGATAGTTGGATAGTATTACTTTGAAATAGAACGAAGGTTGGTAAGATTTAGACCATTGCTTGAGACTCTAGTGTTGTAGACTGCTGTTTCATGTATAAAGATTTGAGTCAGACGATTAAACTTGATTAATAAGCTTTTGTAAAAGCCGGTCCAATATTGTCCAATACGGCTGTAAGACTACGAGTTTTTGTGCCACTTATTATCCAAACTTATTTCATGTGTACAGACATACTGGATTATGTTTTAAACTACACCCGCATATAAAGAGATGAAAGAGACTTTTATGGACAATAATAGTTTATTATACGCTTTACGCTTGCGATAAAAAACACTTCCTTCACTTTAAATTTCCTCTCCTTTTCTCTACCTCGACTGCACCAGTGGAAATGAGTTGTGCCTATACGAGTAGTTAAAGATTTGATTAAAAATTTTTACTACGTACTCGTATATCCGATATGAGTTATTTAATTAGTTGGACAACAAGTGTGCACGGGGTTAAATGATGTGCTTCGCTCGATGCGATTGCAGTTATGGCCGGTTTTCGTAATCGTATTCGTATTCGAATTTGTTGATTCGGTGAATGAAACAAAGACATAGATTGGACAATGAAATGCCAAACAAATGCGCATATAAAAAAGTTGTTAACTTTTATTAATTAAAGAACATAAACCACATGGCTAAGGCTTTATGACTTTCCTGCCACTGTTGCTGTGGACCGAACTCTCATGGGACTAAAGGTTCGTGCGTTGCTATGCGTAAGCTGATACAAAAGCAGAGATACTCACCATTGTCTTTTTTATTGGACTATTAAAATGCTACGCAAGATACTTGAAACATAAAAATGTTTATTCAATAATAAACAAAAGATATTCACAGCGACCAATTTCGTAATTCACTTAACTTTCTTTTAATTCCAACAATAATAACAACAACAACACCAACGACAAAATCAACGGTAATTTCAACCTGAAGAACTGGTCATCTCGGCACTTAATTAAATTCGGTGTCACTATTACGTTCTGAACCACGTAAAGTAACTCCAACGTAAGGTTGCATTTCAAGCTAAAAAATCAAAAATTTAATGTCACTTTTGGAAAGTCGCATAATGCCGATTATGTTTTAAGTGCATATAAGCTTAGTTAGCTTAGCCCTTAGTCTCAGTAGTAGCTGCACTCTATATCTCAATTATTATAAAAGAGAACAATTGGAACAATATTTTGTATAGCTTTGATATTTAGAAATCTTTTGACATTAGTTTCAATTGATGAAGTGTTTTCATCTAATAAATACTTTGCTGGTGCTTTATAATTATCTGATCTCAATTAGCGATAATTGCGCAATTAATATTTTGAGTGTTTGTAGTTGCAATTAGTAAAAAACGAGTAAGGCAAAATGTCTTTCGTTGATATTCGCAACAATTTAAAATTTGCCTTCAGTGCTAGGTAAGGTTAGGTTGGAGTGGCGGTCTTGTGGCCAAAGGTTAGGTTGAGCTCAAATAATAGCTCGTTGTGATACCACAGTTTATCGTTGTTCATATGCAAACTGTAGGTCAAAGTCTAAGCAACGCTAAAAGGCTCGACAATTGAAGTAAAAGTGAACCAACCTACAAAGTCAACGCGTATAAACTTGGAGGAGTCCTTAATTGCGCGGGATGGCAACGATATCAGTTCGTTCGATAACATGACCTTGAAGAATTTAAATCTTCTCTTATCCAATAATGAACATTGATACATGAGGTAGAGTATAGTTTCCTCCTAACTTCTATATAAAAGTTAGTTTAGTTGAAAAATTCTCATGATACACGGAAGTAAAAATACTAGACTCATGTTCTTCTATGAGAATCTATCTGACTTGACGAACAATCTTCCTATAAAAAATTTCTATAAAAATAAAAATTATTATATTATAGGGTAGGGTACATCAAAATCCAAAAGTGAAATTGAAAAGGTAGCCGTCGTTAAGATGGATGCAGACTAATGTTGCTACAATATATAATCAAACAAAGCCAATAGAAAGCACCATTGAGCTGAATACTCTAGGCAGGATATGGATTTGTTTTTATAGAAATTTTGTTTGTGTTCAATGCTCTGAATAGGAAAGCTCATACATTAATCATTATTGTTTATAACGTTTATATAGTATTATTCAGTATTTGAAATAGGCTGGCAAGGTACTAATGGATATATTCATAAGATTATCCTTACTAAGTATTAGTAACAATAAATTGTATTTAACTTTTAAACAAGTTTTTTGGTATTTACAGCATAAATTTCTGTTAAAGAATTGATTGTTATAAGGACCTGGTCTTTCCGTAATTTCCCTGTAACACTCAGAAGAGGAAAATCAAAGCACAATTGTGAGTTCAAGAGAAAAGTTGGAATCAAGTTAAACCATTGGTAGAGTTCAATGAAAACTATTTGGTATGAATGTAAGTTCCCTATTGAAATTTTAAGGATTTCGGAAAAATATATGTCGTTGCTAAAAACATTATGGAATTAAGGCATTCTGTCGTAAGGACTTGTTTTTTGAAATTTTTTTTATTTTTTATCAAAATATTTCTTTCATTATTTCTAATGCACTAAGTAGACTGCCTGAGTCAAGTAGGAGAGCGAAGGAAATTTCCGTTTAATTACGCAATAGAAAATTAATTGAAGGCAATAATTGAAGAGCATTTCACTTAATTTTTGACAGAATAAAAACCGAAAATGATACGGGGTGAAAAGGAGTGGTACTGTTTCTAAGTAAAACTGAGTGACTACGCATTTATAAGTGAAAATTAAAAACGAATTGCCAAATGCCAGAAATGGTCTATAAATTTACTAATAAAACAATAAGAGTTTACAGTCATTTCGATAGAAACACTCATAAAAACTTCTGGACTTTGAGTTTAGAAACTCTAATTTTCTGATAAAAAGAATATAATTTTTAAAGTGATAAAATTTATCCATAAATACTAACATCGGTATTTGGATACATAGGCCTATGTCATGGATTATAAGTGACAATCGCAGAAAAGTAGATTGA